TAATAATAACGATATCACCGACGATAGTGATGATGATAATAATAATAAAATGATGATCATGATAATAATAAAAAATATTAATAACATATACAATTACTTTTGCTCATGAATGTTAGTGTTAATAATTTAAGACACTGTGTTTGTGACGATATTGCGCAGGCACAATATACATAATATTTATAGTTGTAATTACATAATAATCAAAATGTATAACATTTTAACGAACATTTCGTTCTCTTTAAGGTTGAGTGATATTTAAGTTAATTTCAGTTCCATTTATTGTCATTTGCATATTATAAAATATGCATAGAAATTGTGCTTGCTCTGAAACACCATTACATAAATACATTAAACAAAACAACCAAAAATGGTCCATATTCTGGGTTGAAAAGAATTGATCACTGAAAACTGCATCACCAAGCTACAGCTTTCATAGTGATAATATATAGTATCAATATACAAAATTAATCTTTTAGTACTGTAATATAGTGAGAAACTGGTATCAGTTTTTCTTATGCAATAAACATCATTGTGGGAATGATTTAGTATTAGCAAACAGTACCGTAGTTGGACAGAAAAAAAATCTTGAACCCTCCTGCAGCACTTATGTAAAACCGTCTAGTGACGGACTTGTTAGTCCTTTGCAAGATGTCCAGACGTAAATGTAAAGCATAAATTCCAATGCTATTGACAATAAAATATAAGGCTACTATATAGTAAACGAGTAGGCCTACTTTGCACGGTTCGGAGCTAAATTGCTTGTATACATCCTTCAACTTTAGTAAATATCAGACTCTAATTCACTGTAAAACCGGTCCCTAGAAATATCGCATCACTGACTCTCATACTTGACCGATATTTCTCTGAAATTCTTGACTTTCCGTGATTAAAATTTTACAATTTTATCTATAAAGTCTTCAGGCGCCGCATGGAAGTTTAACGCGAGTAGGACAGTGTCTCCCGTGTAGCTCTGATGGCTCGTCTCCAGTACATTACTCAGCCTCATCCGGTCTTCCAAATATGGGCATAATGCACTGTAGCCTGGAACAGAAGTTCTGCTGATTATCAATAACCATTATACAATTGCATATCAACCATAACATCCAACCTGTTAGATATTAATCCTTCCAATAATTTGTATAACAGGCGTAACATACTACTGTATATTGATCGCATACGCGCATCGTCAGACCATGGAGGAAAACAGTAACTGTAATCCTATGGCTGGAATTGTAAATGAGTATCCTGAGTTCTCCATCGTGTATTGGCTGTGATGCATTCAAAGTTATTATATTGTCGCTATCATAATCATATTGTCATTATAATAATATTATTACCGCTATCATTATCATTATCATCATCAACATTATGATCATTATCATTATCTTTAATAACACGATATTTGTGAAACCAAGGCACCGACCGCAAAAACAGAGCTCCAGATGAACATAAACAAATTATCTGATAGCATATTATATTGATTTGTGTTCGTGTTTTATCACCAATAACATTATGATAATATTGTAATTATCTTTAATAACACGATAATTGTGAAATAAAGACACCGACCGCAAAAATAGAGACCCAGATTAACAATAAACAAATTATCTGATAGCATATTATATTGATTTGTGTTCGTGTTTTATCATCAATAACATTATGATAATATTGCAATTATCTTTAATAACACGATAATTATGAAATAAAGACACCGACCGCAAAAATAGAGACCCAGATTAACAATAAACAAATTATCTGATAGCATATTATATTGATTTGTGTTCGTGTTTTATCATCAATAACATTATGATAATATTGTCATTATCTTTAATAACACTATAATTGTGAAATAAAGACACCGACCGCAAAAATAGAGACCCAGATTAACAATAAACGATCTGTTATGTTTATTTGTGTTTGTGTTTTAATTTGAGTCTCTTCTTTCTACTGGCACATATTGGGTTTATTACACATTATTGACATTGACGTGTCTGAATTATTTATAAGACTACACTTTCCATCACACCCTTCCATCGCCTTGACCTGCCTTTTTTACCTCCCACTCATCCACTCAATACTTTTATATAGAGAAACTATTATCAGCTACCCGGCGCTTAAATTATAATTGTGTAAGTAAATAAATAAAACATTTCATTATTGCCTCCACTTGAGGAAGTCGATATTAACTTCCGATAGAGGCGTTTCTGCATCCATTATGAGCATAACCAGCGAGTTGTTATAGTGACTGGCATAACTAACTTCTAGACATTAATTGTTGTGAAATAAGAGTGCCAAGCAATAATTTAAGCAGTGGTCTGATATATATATACAGGTCTCCCTCAAATTAAAGACCATTTTTTGGGACCGGGGTTTCCATTAGCAGCTTTGATCTCTAATTAGAATAATAAAGATAAAAGACATTTGTGAATTTGGGACCACAGGAAAGTGGTCTTTAATCGGAGGTGGTCTCTAATTGGAGGGGTCTTTAATTGAAAGGGAAACCTGTATATAAAAAAAAAAACAACAAAAAACTCAAATTGTTTCATGCAGACCATAATTCTACGAGTATCGATATGATAGTGTCTTCTGGTGAGTAACTCGCATATGTATTACGGTATTTCTTCTCGAAACATCCCCAAAGTACTCCAATTTTGAAATGTGACTTCCGTTTCCTTCCGTCTGGAATATACCACCAACTGTCACTACTGATTATATTGCATTTAATGAATGATTTAGTTGCATTTTACACATTTATTTGATAGACCCCTGTGGAGTTATGAGGTCCCAGATAAGTAGCGGTGGCGCCAGAAATTTTCCGACAAGGGGTCCGACATGTCTGACGGAGGGGCCGAGCCAAGGGTGCGACGAAGCCTTGGTCGACGGCCCGGAATAAAAACTCTCTTATAGGGTTCCCAGGAAGAGTTTTCATGGCTTAGTATAGTCCAAAATGTGTTTCAGACCATAATATGCAGTCAAAATAATGTTATTTGGATAGGCAAATTATAGTTTTTTTCTAGTCGTGCGTCGGAAGAAGGGGGAGGGGTCTAGGCCTGTCCGACGAAGGAGGTGAATTCCCCGGCCCCCACCCCAGCTGGCGCCACCACTGAAAATAAACTGGCCTCAAGCCGAATACGGTAACGCTAACGCCACACAATGTCGACACCTTCGTCATGCCGCTGCGCAATTCGAGTTTCTTTGGCCAGTGGTTGCGTCTACGTTTGTTACGCACTGCATCATGGCAAATGATATTTAATATTTTTGACAGTTAACAAGATAAATACAGGCTCACTATAAATGTAAACACTATACCATTTTCGTAATATAACCTCCATTGACGTTCACTTGCGTTAATTTATTATTTTGATGTTGATGATAATGACGACGACGATGATCCCGTCGGGGATCTGGCCCTCGTCAGGGAGAAAAGCAACAGTTCGACGGTGAGAAAAAAAAATATATTATGTATTTTCTACATTGACTCATATAAAATCGACTTAATAAGCCTTCGAAACCCGAAAATTGTCATTCTTCGGGGGTTTCCACCTAAACCACTTTCATAACATTTTGAGCAACGCCCGGACCACGCCCATTTTGCTCTCGTCGGGGACATCGGTCCCCCTTCAAGACCTCGGCACCCCCACCCCGTCGGAAAATTTTGGCGCCACCTTTGGCATAGTACTTTAAACGCTTGTAGCTACATTGTAAATGAGATTGTGAATGAAAGTTTGTTTATTGCACGCACGACCATAATTGAGGTATAAGTTGGGCTCTGCTATAATAGTGTCAGTCAGGCATAAGCCTACCGCGAATAGAAGGATTACATTTATATATTATTATTCAGCTCTGAATCTATGCTGCAATTCATAAATATCAAATGATTTTAATGTCACAAAGTGCTTATTCATTACCAACCCTTATTCGGAAATCATAGAAGCGTATCATCAGTATGTGAAATAATACATAAGCAATTTTCCTTGTTTTGAGATTATAAGCGTTTTGTATGGTACGTGTTCGTGTGAATTGATTTTGTGATAATTTACGTTTTCGATGTTAAATTAAGATGATGGTTTTGTATGGTACGTGTTCGTGTGAATTGATCTTGTGATAATTCACGTTTTCGATGTTAAATCCAGGATGATGATGATGATTGATTTAATATAATAATTTAATGTATTAAGAACCGGTACAATGCAATCCAACATAAAAAAACCACCCATTTTAACACACACCCCCACCCCACAAAGAAAAAAAAAAATCAGTGAAGAAAAATATAAAAAAATAAGAAAATAATAACACAAAACTTGTAGCTGCCCTGTCAAAAATTCATACTCTATTAATTTTAGTAAAAAGGTAGATATGGTAGGCCTACTTATAGACCTAAACAACATCATCAATGACAGCTTAAAAAAGTTATAGTCCATTAAGTTTGAGACAGTCATTATCAGTAAAGGTTTAGTAGAGTATTTTGGTGTGCAGCACACCAAGGTTAAGCCTCCCAAGTCCAAAGACTCCAGTGGGGTCCTTCTAGTGGTGAATGGACCTTTCCGTTAAGCTCCGCCCCTTGGATTTTGTTGCTAAGGGCCCACAAGACGGCAATGTTAAAACATACGCGAACACGTGCGTTTGTGTGGGACAACACGTGTGTTTGTAAGACGCGCGCGTATTCCTAGAGTTTTTCTGATTAGTCAGTTGTGAAGTTTGATTGACCCTCCGGAAAAGTCTATTGGGCAGTACAACAGCAAACAAAATCATAGTCTTGTCCAAAGTGTTTACGACGTTCTTACTGTGCACAGCGATGTTGCACACAAGACCAACGTCCTGGAAAATGATGCACCATCGTAACACCCAGCTGTAGTACAAGAGCGTTGGTTTTACGTCACAATTCTTAAATTTGCTGCCATACATTTAAGGATATGTAAAATATAGGGTGGTGAGGTTACATAGTGTTTGAACACATATGAAGTACATTAGTGATAAAGGATATATAAATAACACAGAAGTGCGAGTCATACCTTTTAATGAAATATAACACCTTCTATAATATTGTACATTTCGTCAGATGACATTATGCTGGAAAAATCCAGGAATAATTCTTAGGTAATTTAAATTTGATCAACGACTCATGAAAATCAATTTTAATTATATATAAATCTACAATAAACTCTGTAACAAATATATTTCTATCAATACATATCAAATTAGTCAAAAAATTCAATCAAATTAATACACGACAATTACACACAACCTATTAAAATAAAATAAAACATCAAATTATTTCACACACTGCCACAGTAAAGTATTGGTAATTAATTCTTTTTTTTTCAATATACTATTAACTACAATAGTAGTAGTAATAATAATGAACATTTTCGGAATTTTTATGTCGTTTAAGTGTTTTGACATTATCACTGCTTATTGGGAATGGCAGGGATCCAAAGTCTCCCTGGGATTCTCCTGGAAATGGACTGCTTCCTACTCCTACGAGCAAGTAAAATCTCTCGGAAACTAAGCCATCTCAAGCAAATTCATGTTTGCATGATTTTACTTTTGATAATCATAATGATGTCAACTGTCAATGTTTATCACCATGCCCCAAAAAATTAAATTAGACATGTTAAATCCTCATTTAACCAGATATCTTGGAAGTTCCTACTTCCAACTTAGGACCTCAGAAATTGCAGTAACGATACACAATGTGTAAATTCTTCTACTTCATGGAAAGTATTAAAAGCCTTGCATAATATTCAGCATATTAAATACATTCAAATTCGAAACACTACCCTTCTTCCAGGTACCCTTTATAAAATAAATAAACAATTTGTACTCCTGTGTGGAAAGAAATACCCTGCTTCACGGCGGAGGTAATTTTGTCAATGTAGGATTCAAACCCCATACCTTATGGTTGAGAGCGCAAGGCAATCTTGCTGTTACTGCATAAAATAAATTTTTGTTTTCTCATGCAGATTGAATATGTATAAATCAGTAGTTGGGATGTAGTTTTTAAAAAATTATATGGTTTTCTATATGAAAATCACTCTCTACTATGAACATTTTTACCTGGTGGGAGTTTAGCTCAAAAAATTTATACTTGCATAGAATAACAAACTGCCCAAAAGTACTTGTAAAAATATGTTTATAGATACCCTTTTCTTTTTAAAATCATAATGGGGGAACAGAAGGCAAGAGATGAAATATTTACAACTTCTTCAAATTGAATTTTACTGACTGGTGCCAACAAATTAAAAAGTACACACCACTCCGTGTCATTTATAATTTCAAACAGTTATAAATAACTTTTATATACACATCCTTATGGTTCAGCCAAGTAAAAAATTAATAAAGAAAAATTTTAAATATTATGGGTTTTCAATTGGATGACTATATGAGTCCCAGATTCACTAAGGTGTTAATAATATCTGGCAACATCTCTCAAACTTCGTTTTAGCAATTTAAATCCATATATTAGTCATATTGGATAGTAACCAACAATGATCGAATTGAGTTAAAAAATAATTTGTATACATTTAGAAATATAGTTAATTCATAATCACAATCAATCAATTGCTTTGATGCTGACCATCAATAATTTAGGTTGAATAAAATAATATAATATGAATTTCCCCCTCTCAAGCATTCCTGTAACAATGTTACAAGCTACTGTCACATCAGTCACCTGGCCCTAACTTTGATCATAAACCCATTACTTACTCTGCTACTTTAACTTATAACCGCAACACCATAGCTTACACTGCACTCACAAATAAGTATACCATTCCCCTTATGTTGCCCACTGCACTCAAAAATAGGTATACCATTCCCCTTATGTTGCCCACTGCATTCAAAAATAGGTATAGCATTCCCCTTATGTTGCCCACTGCACTCACAAATAGGTATACCATTCTCCTATGTTACTTTGCTCTCACAAGCTACAATACCAGCTCCAATCCATTTAACATCGTAGTGCTTCATACTCCGTCACGTGGAGGACTTCAAAATGTTGTACTTTCGAAGCAGCATACGTACGGAGCCAAGTTCTTTTACCACCTCGTCATAACGTGTCTCCAGCTGCTGCTGCGGGTTAACAAGATAGGAAATGCATGTCAGTTGTGTAATTACCACCAGAGATGTCGGGAGGGTAGGGTGGGAATTCAGACCATGCTTGATTCAGCTGATTAACTGAACATCTTCAGTGACTCATATGATAATGATGCCAACATAATTCATTATAATACTAATCATGTGGTTAGCTAAAGTAATATGCCATTTACCATTTTAGTAAATGCCCAATATTTTTATAATGAAATTAAACTTTGTAAACTTTAATGCGAAAGTAGAACATAGTTTAAAATGAGCGAAATGTTTAAATCGTAATGGAAAGGTTAATCGGTTACTCACTCTGGCTTAAATCCTGATTTCATGATATAAAATAATTGTGAATTACAGTACACAGTATTCCCAAATACCAATACCAATATTCTATAGTGACCATAATCGTCATTGGCTTAAAATTATATTTTAAAGGAATTATATTTATCAATGACAATCTTTCCTATAATTTATGTTTTTTTTTTTTTTTAAATAAAAATTTAGTTAGGGAACTAATTTTCAATAGTGAAGGTGCCAAGTCTATCTTGTTTAGACATTTGACATCAAATCTTGTATTCTACACCACCCTCATCATCTTCAACTGACTGATACAACAAACAGTTACATCACTGTGCCACTTTCTGGTAATTGAAGGTGTGAATCATTCAACTTATCCTCCTCCTCATCATTATTATCATTTTCCTCATCATCGTAATTTTTTTCATCATTGTCATCATCCTCATCATTATTCTCACAATCCAATGTTCATCATCATTCTCATCCTCAACTATACTATTCTCATCCTTATCATCATTCTTTCAACATCCCCATGGTCATCATCCTCTTCCATATATCATCATCATCTTCTGATAACAAGCTCCCATTGAAATTCAGAGCAGATAAAGTTTACCAATTGATTTTTGTGGCAGTCCATATAGAATAATGATTGAGATGTGCAATGATCACATTCATTCTATAAAGGTGAATTTATTTTGATATATAGTTTTACACTTTCTAAAGTCTATAAATCAAAGAAATGCACATGAAACCATTTCTGCATCTATAGATTTAGTCATTTCCTGTATCTTGTTAGTTTTAATTTTGAATAAAAGTGTGAATCAAGAGGAAATACCACATAAAAATCTAAAGTAAATAAATGAAATCGACTGAGTTGTGTTGCTAAAATCATTGGCCCTCTCCTTGAACGTGACATTATTTCTATTTCCATATATTTTAAAATCATTTATTTTAATTTTCTATTTCCTTTGAGAGATGGCCAATTAACTCTTTGCGATGAGTAAGTCCCATATGGAGGAATAGAAGAGGGAAGAAGTGGCAACTCTTCTATGTATGCTTATTTTCTGTAATATTTAATAATCTTGAGAAGTTTCTAAATAAAACAAGTTCATTGCATTTTGTTTGACTTCTTTTAAATTATATAAGCAAATGAAGAAGGTCGATGTCCCGCAAGTTGTCAAACCTGACAGTGTATTACTCACATAGTTGATCATGAACTTAACAAAGAGTTAAACAAATATTTGTCATGTACAGCCAACATATAGTTATGGTTAATATACTAGCGTATGCTAAATGCATTTGATCTTAATTTGAATCTTTGTTGCCAGCCGTTCTGCCTCAAACAAAATACTTAAAACAAGACAGCTGTTTCCAATACATGATAAAATTTTTAAATATGCGTACTTAAAAAATAATACAAGTGTGCCCTCCAGTATATTTTTTAAATATTTCTTTAGCAGCCAAGCACTACATTCAGTAATTAATACCCAATTCACACATATACTTGTAACAAGTTGTTAGAAGTTTTATCAAGGATAACTGCATGCATGTGAATGCCACAATCTTGATAAAGTCCCTTGTGAAATCTTGTAATATCTCGTAACAACTTGTAATCTTTACCAGCCTCGAAGTGGCTTATAAAGATTACGATTTGTTGCAGCGCATGCTCAATGGTTTTTTGGGTGAGAGGAAGCTCTCCCTTGATGCGATAAATTATGGCGTTGATGTTGTTATTTATTAACAAGAAAAAACGCACCCGAATTCTATATGGACCACAATCAAGTTTTATGAGATTGTTTAAAAAAAGACGACAATGGCGGAAAAATGTATTATCTGGACTTCTTGTCGCATATTACAGCAACGCTGGTAAGGTTGAGAAATCAGGCTAGCTATGCGTAGCCTAGCCTAGGGTTCTCGGTGGGCCAAGTTAGCCAAGCAAGAGGGCATTAGAATCGGGTAAACACTAGCCTCCTAGCTCATTTTTAAATAAAGGAGCCTAAGGTCTAGTGCGGTATGGGATCTGTTTGTTCTAGATCCCTGTATAGTACTATAAAAAATTTGATAATCCACATATGCCTATCTATTGTTTTGTTGATAGTATGTAAAAAAAGATGACAATGTTCTGTAATGTATGTGTGAAACAACTGACCTAACTCGGGAGATCTTGTATGTTACATCTTTTTAAAACTTATTACATTTGGTGTATGTGTGAATTGGGTATTAAGAAATAATAAAAATATGTACCTCGTTCTCCCGTGCTTGCCGAGACATACGACTCGATGCAGGTAGACGACTTAAGGCAGATTCAATCTGTGTGTAAAATAAAAAACCTAGCTCAGTGTGTTTAAATTTAAAAAGGCATAGATACTGGCTGAAAATATCTTGTAACAAGATTGCTTGATATGGACATATTTACACATTTCCACCATATAAGTGTGTTTATAAATGTATTAAGGAAAGTAATGCACATACTAAGTCCCTGCTTGATGTAGAATAAGTGGATATTCTGTACTTATAAATATTATTTTAATCACTTGTAATCTTGTACGTCAATGGTTAAGTGCTGACATCATAGTCATTAGAATGTATCATAAAAAATAAAACATTAAAAATATTAATAAGAAAAATGTAAATAATATTCAGTGTTCAGTATTATAAAATATGTATAGTTTGAGTTCAAGGTACAAAAATGTCATTATGCAATTTATTGTTTGTTGGTCCTTACTTCAACTTTTTCTTTGGTCAAAAAATCAAATCTCTTCTCCACAGCTGATAGACTGCGCAGTCTCTCTTCTACTGACGACCGCACATTTCTCTGTAAAATAAAAGTAAATTAAATGGGATTACCATCCCAAAAATATCAGACATCTGTCTGTATTAGATATCTGTTTTTATAATGTTGGAGCGGCAGTTTGGCGCAGCGGTTGAGGTTCGGACTTTCAATCGTTAGGTCGGGGTTTCGAGTCTCCGCTGAGCCGATTCGCTTGTGTCCTTGGGCAAGGCACTTTAGCTACATTGCTTCAGTCCACCCAGCTGTATCAATGGGTACCAGCAATCTGCTGGGGACTAACCTGCGATGGACTAGTGTCCCGTCCAGGGGGAGTATAACTCTCATCCGCTTCACACTACAGAAACTGGGGATAAGCCCCAGTGGCTCGGAAAGGATTTAGTTAGTTAGTTTCATAATGTACTTCAGTGAAATTACCTAAAGTCCACCATGCTAGTATGACATTCGTTTATTATACCATTAAAAAATATTTACAAGAGTCAGTAATGATTAAAATATGTAAAGCTCTGTCCACACTAACTGTTGTATGCAAATATAGTCATGATGTGCCTATATATGGTCATGGTGTGATGTCATCATGACCATATTTAGACGTGTCACATGTTTTGACAAATAAAATTTGATAGTCTAGCCCGGGCCTTAGTTAAATGTATTTGCAATCTTTTGCTTGCTGCCTGAAAGGTGTGCGGAATATGAAGAGAACTTAAAAATTCATTGTTTGATGTTGCCAGGTACTGTTCTTTAATTTCTACTGATTTGGCAACATTTTATGTTGTTCAGTAGAGATTTACAGTTTTTTTGTTATGGCAATACAATAAAAGGCAGTTGATTGAAGTAATAACAGGTATTCTACAGTTGAGGGATTTGATTCTAATTATTTTTTTTATTTTAATTATTTTAACAATGTAATTAATTAAAAAAAGTATATTTTTGTAGTTTTTTCTATATAATAATATCAATTCTTATGTAAAGCGCTTTGAACAGAACCCTGAAAATGGCTATATAAATTAATATTATTATTAATATTATTATTATTTCTAGTGTTGTAATAGACTCTTTCGAAATCATTTTAAAAGACAAATAATAGTTACTTACTGATAAATTCTCATTGCTTGGTTTTACTTGTTTTGGATTGGCTGACATGATTTTAGGCTCCTCTGATCCTGTCCTGCTCATGTCCCCAGATAATTGATCCAATGTTGTTAAAATACCTGGTATATAAACAAATACATTATATATGTAAATTCCTTGTAATTTTTATTATTGCATACATACTTTACACATGAAGACACTGATTATTCTAATGAAATTCAGCCTCCTTTCAATGAATGCTTATAATGATACGCAAAGAGCTAAAATCTAACCGTACTGTGGTAATGATTTAACATACATACCATAAATTATAAACTTTCAAGAAGTATATGAAAGTAATATAATAAATTATAAAAATAAAACATACAAAAAAGACAATATCAATATTCAACATACTATTAGCATCTGTGTTCCATTTTTTTCTTGGCATGCTGCCAACATCCTTGGTGGGTGTCTCATCTAATGACACATTAAATCTTGTAGTGGTTTGACTGTCTCTATCTAGGACCCCTTTAAACTTAGGTGAAATGTCTGACTTAGGGTTAAAAGGGTGTCTAGGTGGGGTGCGTTTAGTTGGAGTACTACCTCTTGATGAGCTTGATACTAACACAGATTGCCTCATGCTGTAGTTGTTCTTAGGGGTCGATGACTTCGGTCGATGTGGAGAGTTCTTGGGTGAGAAGGATCTCTTTGTTCTTGGCGGAGAATATGGTGATGTAAGGTTATCAGTGAGAGAGCTTCTTGGTGATTTATCTTTCGCTCTGGAGCGAGGCGACTGTGTTTGTTTTAAATGTGAAGATGCATTTGGTGATCCTTGACCAAATAGTCTTCTTGGTGTCTTTGAATTCTCTGACCGCCTTGGACTTCTTCTGCTACCAGCAGACATGATGTTTCTTGACCATGGTTTTGGGGATGTTTGGGACAACTTAGGTTTTCTTTCTGATTGTAATTTGTGAAGTTTATTCAAATCATAATCTCTCAAATGCTGTAGATGATCTCTCGCTAAGCCTGCTCCTTGTTTCGGATGTTTATTTGCGGAAAGTGGAAAGTACTCATTGCCTTTATGTTTTGCGCCAATGTCTAGACTATGAAACGATGCAGAACTTTCAGATTCATTGTCTTTCACAGCTTGTCTAGATTGGTTGTTTGACCTTTCATGTTTCCCTAATCCCACTTCTGACCTTTGTGCATCATGAGATTTAAAACTGTTTTCCAGCTGATTAGATAAGAATGCCTGTGACTGGGATCTTTCCAACTCCTCATGCTGTTTCCAGCGATTAAATTGAGCAGCAGCTTTCATCATTGGTGAGATAGGTCGCTCGTCCAGATCAGAGTCAAATGGAGGCGGATGTAGCGTGCTACGCATGGATGCAAACAATCCACTGCGATTCAGTGATGCATCCAGATCAGAATCATCCAGCCGATAAATACCACTGCAAGAATTAAACAAGAATAGGAATGGAATTATACGATGAATAGAAACATTATTAAAACAGATACACCGCTGCAAAAATGATTTCATTTGAAGAAACACCAAGGACAATTCACAAGAGTCTAAAAAATGACTTATTTGCAGAAGGGTTCGTCTGGGGGTGATTGGAAAGTACACCAGGAGAAAATCCACTACACTTTTTGAAGAGTGTACTGCATTCTTAAATAACATAAACTTTGGCCATATTGCACACAGGAACAATGACTTAAACACCTCATCCAAAAAATGGTGTGCTACTGAAACATGCATTTCAGTCATCTGATACACATGAAGATCAGCGATGGGAATCAAATGAGGGACACAGACACAGAGGCTACCACCAGTTTAGCCAACTGAGCTAAGCTGCTCTCTCATCATCATCATCACCATTTTCAGCACCATCCTTACACTAATATAATTATCATTATAAATGAAAATTCTTGAATAGGATGCTGTCCTGTACCTTTCAGTTTCAGATTGCATTTTATCTGAATCTTTTTCCGTATCTGATGAATGCCTTATCTCCCCATTGAACAGATTGAAGTCAGCTCCAGATCTCAAGAATTTACGCTCCTCTACTGATGGCACATGAGGTTTTGGTTGGCTTGGCTGTGCATTGGCTTTGGGGCTAGGCCCTCTAGGCGAAGGAACATGGGTCTTTGGCTGGCTTAGATGTGTCACATCTTTGGGGCTAAACCCTCTTGTTGACAAAGCATTTGTATCCTGGTTGTATGTGGGCCTAGAATCTTGTTCCTGGAATCTTAAATGTGACTTAAAAAGTTCAATTTTGAACTGAAGATTGATAATTGATTATTTAATACAAAACAAATGCAACATAATACACACATTGTTAGAATCAATATAATATCATAATACTTTTATTCATTGAGATAAATGCAATACTGTACTCTTCAAATAAAAAATATTACTCCATTCCATATTTTACTGTTTTTTGCCTTTGTTTCTGTATTATTGATTAAAAACATATTTATATATTTTTGGAGGACAATAAATTTATAATATCACTCATCATCATCATCATCATCATCATCATCTAAAACATAATCAACATCACCATGAACATAATACATCATTCAATAAGATATCAACATCATTATAATCGCTAAAATTATCATCAAGATTGTATTCATTATGATTGTTTTCATCATACACATGTCATGCAGGGGTGGCGCCAGGATTTGCCTGATTGGGGGGGGGGAGGTTCCCAAGGGGGGCTGATTTCCCAGACGAGGTGTTAGATTTCCCAGATGAGAGCAAGTGGTCGAGCGAAGCCCCCGAAAATATTGGGGTTTCAAAGGCTTGTTTAATCAATTTTAGGTTCTACTAATAAATATGTAGAAAATAAATATAATAATTTTTTTCTCCGATGGATTGCGATTTTTCTCCCCGGCGGGGAGGGGAGCCCCCCCACCACCACTGGCGCCACCCCTGATGTTATGTGTTCTCTACAGTCTGCAAATGATTACAAAAATAAATCATAATTGTATCATAACAGATAATGATTGTGATCTCTTACTGCCTGCGTTCAGAACCATTCTGACTTGACTGTATGCTTGAATGATTCGGTAAGCTTCTATTAACACCGCCCTCAACTTCTGCTCTGCCTTTCAAAAAAGCATTCTCATGTTGTAGCCTTTCAACATCCATCTGTAATTTTGCCAGGGCACTACACACAAAATGAATATAGAAAATAAAATCAAGTTAAATGGTAACAATAATGCAGATGATGATACAAAAATGACAAAAAAAAAACTGTATCTTTCTTCAATTTTTAAGATTGTTCATTTAATTAAAGATTTTTAAGAGAGTCGTCCTTATCACTATAATCAGGAAATAATCACGACCATAAAATAAAATCAAAGTATACCTTTCAGTATTAAATTAAATATTAACAATTTATTTTACCTTTTCAAATCAATTACTTCCGACTTGGCCTCGTACAATTCATTCTCTGATTTGTTCAACTGATCCTAAGAAAAAAAATGTATGAAAATGTTTACCTCAGAAGTTTTAAAATCAAACACTGATGGTGCTATCTGGAATTCCATGGTGAAAGGTGAGGGGAAAGCATACTCAAATTGGTAGCCAAATGTGTGTGCACTATAAACCATTGAGATAATTTGGTTCTTGGTTCAATTCCTTTACTAGTCTTTTTCTGTTTCAGCTGCAGAGGGCTGAACTACAAATTATACAGTGCACAGCCTCTCGAGTGAATGTCAAGAATTAAAAATAAATGGAATGGCGAGTAGAGAATAGTATCCCGATTTACGGATCACTTTCGCTACAGTAAATAATATGCGACTGCCCGCAGAGCATGAGAGTTAAGTATTACGTATACACTACAACACTGAATACACTACAACACTGAATACACTACAACACTGTATACACTACAACACTGTATACACTACAACACTGTATACACTACAACACTGAATACACTACAACACTGAGGTCACAGCACCATTTGACACCCCTTTGTTACTGAGCAACGCTACCCAAGCTGTTGATAATGGTAAGAGCCTCCTAACCACAATATCAATAGCTTTTCAAATGCTGAACTGTATAATTTTATCTTGAGTATTTAAATTTTGCCATGTGAAGGTATGTTTACAATTAATAATACATTGGTTAACTGATATATGCTGAGCTTCATGTTCTTATAACATTATTATACAAACATTAAAAAAATAATAATAAGAAAAATGTAAATAATATTCAGTGTTCAGTATTATAAAATATGTATAGTTTATAGTTTATTATAAATGGAATGGAAATTAATACTTAGTAGTAGCACACAGCTGTGATGGTTGCTTACAGTAGTAGTAATTAGTTAGCAGTGTCAAAATGCCTTGGTTGTTACCATTAAAAGCCATTAAGATGGCCTTTAATACTTACTGTTTGCATAATCAGGTCATTATTTACATACTCATATTCTTTCATCACCTAAAATGAAATGAAAATAATAAATAACACTCAAATGTAGAATTTTAAATCTGTATGCAATGTGTGTGTGGGATTGAGAGAGATTGTATGTATGTTCATATGTACATTAGGGTGTATGTGTACAGGTATGACAGGGTGTCTGTTAGGGGCGTTTTTTCTACTGCAGTACTGTAGTTATTTTTTGTAGAAGCAACCAGGAATATATTAATAAACAGATAAACTACTTACTGTGTTAAACATGCTGTTGTTTTCCCCCCCAACTAGCGCTTTCACATCCTGTAGCTAAATAAAATAATGAAGTCAACACCCTGATTAAACAACAATTTAATACAAGCTTATAAAGTACACAGTTTAAAATATTTTTTATCTGATATACTTAATCACTTAAAATTATTTATCTCATGAAATATCCAAACCCATTTTAATCCACTTTAATATAATCATACATTTATTTATTTAATTAACTAATTAAATTATTTACTTATTAAAATAAAGTTCCTGTTTTTAGTATCAGGTTAAGAACTTGCTCCCTTGGGTCACAAATTAGGATGTTTACAGAAACAATAATTAAAAAATATATGGGTCAAGAAACAAATTCTCAAATTAAGTTTAAAACAGTTTGAAATAATAACTACTGAAGCAAACACCGACTATAAGATACAACATCGGCGTTGGTTCAAGTCGCTCCTCGCCCAGGGTTCTATTGGTAGAACCAAGTTTTCTTGGAAAAGGACTTCAAATGGAGGTCCAGTGGCCCGTGTGCAATTAAAAGAACCCATTGCATCTTCGGAAGAGTTGGGAGGTTCCCAATGCTGTGGTTCATTTCAGCCCGTCGATGTGGAATGATGTGAACATGTAGGTACTACTAGCGCCTCTTTACGGCTGCTAGGTAGTCCACGGACCAATGCATATAAGGAATTCAGCACAATGACACTGCGAATTATGGGTTATTCTCCTACCTTTACTTTCACATTGTCCTTTTATAATGCTGAAATTCCCAAAATTAAATTCTTCTTATTATTATTGTTATTTTTTTTCCCAAATCTTTATTTCAGCAATCAAAGGCCATAAAAAATTCAAAATACAAAATACAAAAAAGAACATTACAAATGCAAAAATAACAGAATAGAGCATCATAAATAAAATTCATAAAATACTATGATAAATAAATTATCTTCATTATCATCATGTTCAACACTACTACCACCTTCAAGTTCAAATGCTGTAAAAAAGATCTGTGTGAAAGCTCTCCTCCTGACACCTCCAAGAAAGGTTAAAGCTCTGTCCACACTATCATTTGTGTATCAATGATGTTAAATGAAAATCATCTAGAAATACTTCTGAAACCAGATGAATTTTTAATTCAAAGTTTTCATATTGCCATACATTCACATACAGGGCATATCACATTTTTTTTTGTCTCACAAAATTTTATAGTGGACAGAATTTAAATTGAGCACAAAACTCCTTCAAACAGTCAATCCATATCTGCTCTGTATGAGCACTTGAAGATAAAATGTTGGCGGATAAAGACAACACCAGCTCAAGTAAAGAACATGACAAATTTGTGAATATCAGTTGGAGCGACTTACCTCATAGGCCTGGTGTAAATACAGCTTAAGTTCATCAACTGTTTTCTCTGAATTCTTCAGCTCTGCGTCCTTCTCAGCACAAAGCACATCCAAGCTTTTTACTTGTTTCTCCAGAATTGTAATCGTATCCATGGCTACTTCATATTTCTTTGGCCAATCAACCTTCAGATATTTATATTTATTAAAGTTTAGAGATCATTAAAAGAAATCATCCATATTTATTATCCTTTGTTAAAATTTTACAGATGATTATCTGAAAAGATATTTTGAATTTACATGCTCTCACAGCGAAAAATTCCATTTTTTGTTTTCATACTGGTAAATTTGATGTGCATTTGTGTGAATATATATGTTGGTTGTGGACAGACGAGAGTAGCTCCAGTTTACCAGGTAGCTCAGACACAAAGAGACCATTAGGGAAGAAACAAGTCACAGTACGAGCTAGTCCACACCTCAAGCGTTTCTGTATAAAGTGCTATATATATCTAACTACATTACATTATATTATGTTTCCTAATACAGTAATATGATTGTATTTAATTATTTGGGTCAAGTAAAGAGGATTTTTACTCACCAATCGTGTATCAAGTGTTTTAACTGTGGCTTCTAAATCTTCAATACGACTGAGGTTTTCAAGTAATAAAATGAGATGTTAAAAAACATTGCTAAAATTCAATAAAAATGATGCAATAAATTAGTACAGTATACATCATTGTTAAAATATGTTTTATCTTTCTCTTACTTGCTAGAGAGTTTCAATGCTGCCTCCAGTTGGTGACATTTTTGTTGTAGTCTCTCATTAACCTCTTGCCAGCCATTCTGTGGTGGTCCAACTGTTTTCGCTAAACTGTCATGGAGCTGCTGTTTCAGTTCGCATATTTCATTCTCGTAGAAGTCCTTGAGGTCAGTGATATGACGAGCATGTTTCTCTTTCAAATCAAGTCTTTTCATTGAATTAAACAAACATAAACAATCATTAAAAACAAAATATATTGAAAAAAATAAAGCTAAGCAATAACATTAATTATTTGTTTTTCTGATAAAGTTCTGAGAATTCAATTTGAAAATTTGAAAAAAATATTATCCTTGCCAATAAAATATATACTATCATTTGTTATTTGCTTTTTGGTATTTATATACTGCTGCAGGGTACTTACGGTATCTATCAGAGCCTATAAGGAATGGTATTACTGTATTTATATCATGGAGATATCTGAATGATTGTCAATTGGTATACGAAAATGTTTCCTTGTTCTAATTTACAGTTTAAATTTCATAACTCATTAAATATAAGAAATTCACTTGACTAACTTTTAAAAGGTGAATTATAAACACTTAAAATTTCCTAATTGAAAAGGTTACAGCTATTTTCAAAAGATGAGACAAACTAAGTTAAAAATGTAAATTTTGAATTTAAATGAAAAAAAATAAAATTTAACTAACCTCTGAGAAGATTGGCTATCAACATCCGCTGACCCCACAGAAGGCGCCATTTGCAATGGGTCTTCAGTATCATCCAGAAAAGCTGTGTAATCCTAAAAAGTAATAGTTTAAGAAAGTTTTATATAATCGTTAAAGTAATTAGAAAAACGTGATGAAACCACAACTCTAGCATATGAAACCAAGCATTTTAAAAAATGGCTTTAGAAAGTTAAACTTAATTAACTCGAAGAACATCATAAATGTTAGTTAATTGACTTTTAATTTCATGTTTGCTTTTGAGGGAAAGAAATAATAAACTATATCCTAATGAACTACTAAAGATATTTCCTGGTTTAATATGAATTTGTAGAACATGAATAAAATTCAACTTTAGATTTAGTTTTATATGTCAAATACCTGTCTTGTATGAGTTTTTGGTAAAGGGCGGTAAGTATCATCATGTCTCCAGTAGGAGAAATTTGAATATACTGTGCTGTTGTCGTCATCCTCTTTCACTGCAAACGGGCAAAAGAAAAAAATAACATGATTACACACAAAAACTTCATAAAGAGACAAACTGCTAAAAAATTAAATATGCACAAATTGTAAGGTGTTCTTACTGGGAGTTCTATGTTTTTCCCTCATCTGTTGGTCTCCTTCCACGTTGTTTGCCTCTTCCAATCTCTGCATTTGCTTTGTCATGGCACCGTTTAGTAGTTGCTGTTGTTGAGTCTGTTGTTCATGCAGTTTTATCCACTGCTTCTGTAAGTCTTCTAGATGTCGATCATACTCTCTTTGAATATTCTGCTGCTGCCCTAAGAAATGATGCTGTAAAGCAGACAATGACTCTGAAGTACCTGTCATCAATATTTGGTCAGAGACTTTGGCAGATCCAATGAATTCAGGATCTTCCTTGTGATAACCTGATAAAGATTCCTCTAAAACATCTAATGTACCTTCTCCAGGGGAGTGCTGCAAAAACTCTTGTGGAAAATTATCACCAACAGGATTAGCAGAAGAAAGTCTTTCATTGCTTTGAGAGTATGGCAGAGCTCTTACTGGTTCATCAGATGGCATGAGTAACTCATTTATCTGCATAGAGAGGAATGTAAGTTGTTTCTCCTGTTGCTCCTTTTGTAAAGCCACCTGCTGACGATGCTGTTCCTGTAGAACCTCTAGAAGAAACTCAAATTTGTCTTTGCTTATCCCACTCTCTTCAATGAGACCATCATCTGTGGCTGCATCATCATCTGACTTTGAATGTATGCTTGAGCTTTCTGAAGAATGTGAATTATGTGCACCATGAGGATTAATTTCTTCCTCAACATCATCAGTAATTGGTCTTTCAATTGCATCTTTAAAAATTGCCTCACTTTCTTTGAAGTTCTCAGAAGAATTCTCTGGAGTGTTGAATTGTGTAGAGGAATTAGCAGAGCTATGATTGCCATCTCTTTCATCCAGTAACTCCAGAGATTTTGTGCCACCATCGATGGTCTCATCTGATGATTCACAAGCCTCATAGTCTGAATCAGCAGCCTGCCTACCACCATCATCGATGTCAGTGGACTCATTGTATGACAGCTGTTCTTGTAACCTTTTGATGCCAATTGGTTTAACATTTTTGTTTGGGCTTTCAGAAACAGAAAGCTGCTGATCATCTTCAAATGTGCTTCCACGTGGGAGAGGATGGTAGCGTTTTAGTGATGTTGTCAATGGTCCGCTGTCCCATGAGCTTGTGTCACTATTATTATCACCCTCAGTTTTTTCTACTGGATTATTGATGGCAGCACCTTCAGCTCCTTTCTGTGCATCATCTTCTGGTGGGATAGATATTGGGTCTGATACTTCAACAGACTTTTTAAGATTCTCTTTTTCAATATTTCCATCGGAAGTTTCATCAGGATGATTTGTTGCCATTACTCTAGAATGAAACATACACAGTCTTTTATAATGATTTTTGAACTATTTCACCTAGGCCTATATTTAACAAGCTAGCTTTCATTAATTTAAGACTAAGAATATGCCCTCTTTTTGGGTCCTCCTAATAATGACCAGCATGACTAGCGTATCCTGAGAGCCAGTCAGTGCAGTGGCAGTGCTGTCTTCAGAAATAGGCCTAGGGCCTAGTTGTAGTTAGTAGTTGATCGGTTAGTTGATCACAAAATACATTGCCTTGTTGACTGTCTAGCCTATATGCCTACTACTAGGCCTACTACGGCCTCTAGGCTAAATAAAGAGAATGTAGGTCTGCCACGCTTAATTATTAATACGCTATTATTATAGTCTATAAGCAGAAAAGCACACAGTACTCCGGTTCTTCTATGCCTCTCTAGCTAGGCCTAAGAAGCACGATTCTTGTCCTCCAAAAAAGAGGAATCGTCCCAAGAAGCGGTCTTACCCCCGAGGACCTCTTGCTGCCGATAGCGATTAATGATGAAGTTCAGCCTAGCTAATACCGTTAGAATGTACACATAAACCCATTGCTTACCTGGTTTCCGCTATAGTAGACGCCGATCGATAATACTATTTGCCAATATAATAAATTGAACGACAATTTGTCTTATCTTCACTTCGTTATTGACTTTTGACATGGTTCATTAATATTTTCGATTTTCGTGCACTCTTAACCGAGTGAATAACGAGGGTAATTATAGAGGGCGCTCATTAAATATGTTGAGAGTTCCTTCTCGGTATTGTAATGGGCGACACTACTGCAGGTTCATCAGTAATTAAGTAGCAATAGAAATTGAATATTCATTTAACCAGAGTAGAGCCCTGTAAGTCAGGGTTGCCATTTGGCCTTTTTGACGGGCAAATTCCTCAAATCTGTCCGTATGAAAATTCGCCTGGCCTTAAAGTTTTTGCTACTGCATTATTGGCACCACTACTGCAGGTATTGTTATTATATTACAGTAATCCTTAGATGGGCACCGCTACTGCATTATGGGCACCACTACTGCAGGTATCCCATATATCGGTGTAACGAAATGATATAATAAAAAAAAATGGAAATCAAATTCAAACCGTTCGGGATTTGAGCCCGATCACTCCGACATACCATATTGATAATCTGACTGAATGGGGGCTTAGTAGAATTAGAGCCATATTCCCATCGTCGGACATAAAATTATATAATCCGACATACAAGAAATATAAAATTGGACCCCTTCTGGATTTGGACATGACACCCTCCAATCCCACTAGATCCAGGGCGGGTCTATTTGGGTTGGAGCCATTACATCGATGTAAAGGTTATACAATACAAAACGGTGAAAAAAAAATCAAATTCGATCCCCAAGAAAACTGAGAATTTATCAAAAATCTATAGATGATAACATGGATCGTGTTTTATTAAAAAAGTGCGACAGAGTTTATTACAAAGTGCGACAGCTCAGTTACTACAAAGTGCGACAGACTTTATTACAAAGTGCGACGATTTTTTACGAAGTGTGACGCAACACACCACTACTGCATTACGGGCACCACTACTGCAGGTGTTGTTATATTTTATATATTAATCCTTAAATTTATTTATTATTTATTTATTTATTTATTTATTCTTTCTTTATACTGTAGGCACTTTCAGTATTATTTCATTGGTTTTCAAAGTGGTACAGTTTAAACATAACAAAAATATATACAATATAAAGAAATGTTTAACAAAAAATCAAAGGAGAATATAGGTACCACTACTGCATTTGTTGTTATATCTAAAACATTAATACTTACAGTAGATGGGCACCGCTATTGCAGTTGCTGTTATATCTTATAAATTATTAATTAGATTGGCACCGCTCCTGCATTAATGGCACCATATTGCAGGTGTTGTTACATTTTATATATTAATTCTTAGATGGGCACCGCTACTGCATTATGGGCACCGCTACTGTTATGAACACCTTAAAATTAATATGGATATGAACAATATGAAATAATTTCACGTTGTTACTTTACATAAGCAGAAAAAAAGAGTTCGTGTTTATTTATTAATTTTATTTTATTTATTTATTCTTTATACTGGGTTACCTCTTCTGTAAAAAGTTACTGTTCTCCCAGAGGGCCCAGTACATTTCACCGATATTTTTTTAGTAACGCGTCGTGTATAAGCTAGGACAGCAGAAGTGTGTGTTTACTGGACTTTGTCGACAATAACATAAAGTGCCAGATGAAATGAATATTCAATTTCTATTGCTACTTAATTATTCATGAATCTACGAAAGCCCATTAGTGCCAATAAAGTATATGTTCAGTAATCCGTAATTACGAATTAGTAATTCGTTATTACGGATTACTAATTCGTAATAACGAATTAGTTAATTCGTTATTACGGATTAGTAATCCGTAATTAGGAATTATTTAATTCGTTATTGCGGATTACTAATCCGTTATTACGAATTAGCTAATTTGTTATTACGAATTAGTAATCCGTAATAACGAATTAACTAATTCGTTATTACGGATTAGTAATCCGTAATTACGAATTAGTAATTCGTTTACGAATTACTGATTACTGAACATATACTTTATTAGCACTAATGGGCTTTCGTATGAATCTGCAGTAGTGTCGCTCTTACTTTCCTTCAAAAGCTTTTCCACTAGGCGAATTTATTCGCGAGAATCGAAAGCGTCGGCTTATGCGCATGCGCATTCACATTTATATCGGAGTTTTGCGAAGCGAAAAAATGCAAGGCCAATCAGAGCTCCGGAAGCGAACCGATGCTTTGATTCGCGCGAATAAATTCGCCTAGTGGAAAGGTTGCCTTAAGTATATATAGTAATTATTCTCGAGTGATCTCTTCCCCCCCCCCCCTAATTTATAGGACCGATCCGACCGATCATCATCACCATCACCAAGAACATGTGTTTTAATTGTTTGATATAAACATGGAACTACGTGGAGATTATACTGTAGTAACAGTAATGAAAGTTAATCCACCACATCCATTTGCAAATACGGTATAACTTAACTCTGCGATTTGTATATCATTTTGATGCCGATAAATAATATTAATCAGTTTGAATTAATAGGTCCATGGTTTGACAAATAAGTAACAAATGACGTTAGTAATTCTTAAGATGAACCTGTTTCAGATGAACTTATATAATTATTAAAAATTACCGCATATAACTTTACTAATTGACGTATTATTGACATAGTGAATCATATTTCAATGCATCAGGCTTTTTTTGTGTAGCCATGTTAATCTAAAATTACATATTAAGAAAAATACAGTGCAAACATTATATTAAATGTTCGCTAATTCATACTTTCATCCACACAATGGAATCTCAAGATGGAAGCTACAGAATATTTACATGTGTATTTGTAAAACTTCACCTTGTATAAGGAATTATTTCTAGGCCTTGTTACCCCAACACAAACAACAAAGACGAAAAACACCAGGTTACACCATATATATTATTTTATTTCGATTCTAGATTGTGGATGACAAGCGACAGTCCTACGAAGTCACATGGTACCGTAGATGAACCTGGGTCTGCTTCTGTGATTGACTGTTTTTGGCAGTGAGATGCAGTGCAATAATATGACAGGTCCCCCCTAATTTAAAGACCATTTTCCTGTGGTCCCAAATTAACAAACTATTATTGCGAAAGACAATGGAAAGCCGGTCCCAAAAGAGGTCTTTAATTCTAATTGGTGGGAGACCTGTATTTAAAAACGCATAGCGAACTTAAGATATACTGCCAGTCCAAACTTCTGGTGAATTGGAATACTCATTTAAAATAGTCACTTAAGTTATCAACACTCAATAAATCACAGATTGAAAATGATTATACACCTTGATACACTTGCTAGCAAATTTTTTTAAGTATAATATAATTCTCTACAAGTCTTAATTTGTGGATTTTGTAAATTTTCAAGTTTCAGATTTAAATAACAGTAGGTCCTGTCTTTTACAAAATGGTGCATACTTTTGTAAATGACTATTAAATACTTTATTCATCATCATCATCATCATCATCATCATCATCATCATCACCACCACCACCACCATCGTCGTAGTCACTAGCCACTGCATTTCTTTGGATAGGGCAAGTTGCTTGTAATATTCTTTAGTTTTATTGTCGTAATAAGTACAATAATATTTTGAAAGTCAAAAGTATCAAGAAAGGAAAGAGAATTCAAGCAAATTATATTACAAGAATGACAACTAATTGATTGACACCTGCCACAACTATCACATAATTACATGAGTCTGCCATGTTAGACAGGCACACGATACTCTGCCTTCAAATATATCTTCACCATCCCTTAATGAATAATTTATACTACCAAATATTTAACGTTAAAATACAATTGACTGGCCATATGGATGCAATTAGGACTTTTATACTCTCAAGAAATAAATCAATCACCATATTACATCATCCAAAACAACAATGAAGTGGTTTTCATATGCAATATCGTGGGGCTTTCCATTTCAAGACAGAACAGTTGAAAAATAAACTAAATTTTTACCCAGTGATACAAAAAGACCCAAAACGTATGCTCCCTGTTATTGGCGTTTACGCTGTTGGAGGTTAAATGAAATAAAATAAAAAATAAAATAAATATAAATATCCTGAAAATGTCCCAGTTGACCTACAGTACATAGTTTACAGCAACAGACCTGATAAGGTAGTGTTGAAATACTGGAAGTTTTTCTTTTCCTTGTCACACTGCTATACTTTGGAATAATCTCCTAACTGAACTTAGGGACATTTCTGATCCCAATGTTTTTAAACGTGCACCCAGGACTCGTTTGCCTAGTTCATCCAATTATTATTTCTCTGAGTGTGCCTGTTGTACGTTTTGTGTTGTGCTTTTGTTGTTAATTGTTTTGACAATATAGTTGTTGTGGTGCTCGTGATTTCCTGTTTAATGCTGTAGTACATGCTGCCTGAGTTTTTCCCTGAACAATGAGACTTTACAACTGCAAGGAAAAGGCACAATATAAATTCCCATACCAGTACCATATTAAACATTATATAAGTATATTGCAAGTACAATAATAAGACTTATACTGTATTATAATCTTATATATAAGTATATTATATCACAGTTATATCAGTATATTATACTTAAATATAATATATCAAATATATATAAGTATATATCAAACTTATATATAAGTATAATAAATAAAACTTATACTGTCTTTCAAACTTATATATAAGTATATTATATCAAACCTATTTCAGTATATTATATTATACTTATGTATAATACATCAAATATATAAGTACATATCAATATCAAACTTATATATAAGTATAATAAATAAAACTTATACTGTATACATTTGAACTTGCCTAGGTCGAATCCAAAATGCCATTGAAACATTTTGCAACTTCAACAGAACATCAAAGTGGCAATCTAATAAGTTTACATCATAAACCTTTATAATTTTATCAATTTTTTATATTCAATTTTATATATTTTGGCAAACATACAAACATGTTTTTAATGCATCATGAAAGAGGCGAAGGAATTAAAACAGGTAATTTTTAATGTACATTATTTGACTATGTTGTAAAGTATTCTTCCAGTCTTCCATAATAACCAGTTTGTTGTATTTTGCATGGAAATAAATAAAAAGGGGAGGGGATTGATAAATGTAAAAATGTCATATTCACATTACTATGAAATACCCTTATTAGAATGCCAGAACAGTATAAACTTGTATTGCAATAAGAAGACAAGAATTTTAACAATAAACATTTTAAATACAAACATGATTCCATTTTATCGTAATGTTTTTGGTTACAATTTCTTTTTAATTAGTTTCTCTAGTCTTCTAATTCTACTAGTCTCTTCACGTGCTGCAGCCACGCCTGGTTGCCCTCTACCAGCAGTCTGGGATGGGAGTCTAGTTTTGAATAGTTCCAGCATTATATTCTGGTCACCTCGCTTAAGTCCCTGAAAAACACAAAAATTTTGTTATATAAATGAAATATTTTGAAGAATGATTTCTTTGCCCTATCTGACATATTATTGTACTCAATGCTCAGTATTTCCACAAATATTTGCGAAAAAAATCTTGCAAAAGATTTAGGTAGGAATTAAACCCATGACCTACAGATAACTAGCCTGGAGTCTTAAATCTCAAACACCATAAAAATAAAACAATATATTACTGTGTAGGAATTGTTTGTTTAGATAATCACATTGTTTTGTAAATCAACATCTTAACAGCAAACAATGACGCATGATTTTTTAACACGAGAAACAATTACTGTAGATTATTTTAAGATGGGATTTCAAGGGATTAGAGTTTTGCTATAGAATTTATGTTTGTGGATTTAAAAGTGGATCTAAATGAATATGTACTACTAATACTATTAATCCACTTTATTATATGACTGCTTTTTTGTTTTACACTCTGCTTTAAATTTCAAATCAACAGAAAAAAACAATATCCGATTACTCATCACTTGCCTTCATTTCCAGGACCTTTTGGAAATTTGAAGTATCTGTGTCATCGAGCAGCTTTAGGTAGTTATCAACGAACGCTTGACTGGGGTCGGCAGGGGACATCACAACCTGAAAGGGTGAATGACTACCACTTGTAATTTAGTTTGGTGTAAAAAAAATGACATCCAAGAAATATACACAAAATGTTAACTAACTGGCTGCAGATCAACCCCAACTTGTTTATATTATGATAATGATTATGTTAATGATGATGATGATAATGATAATAATTATAATTATAATGATGATAATGGTAGATGATGATGATGATGATAATAATAATTACAATAGTATTAATAATTAATAATAAAACGTAGAATTCACTATAAATAAAATTTGGTGGGACAACAATATCAAATATATTAAGGACATTGTGACCAATAGAAATCGAATTTGTAATTTGAAAGAACTTGAAGAAAGACATAATTTCAAACCGAATTTCCTTTTTTACCATCAAATTGTAAACTCGATTCCAAGGCACTGGAAGCAAATAATAATTGAGAATACAGATATAAATCCATCAAATGTAATAATTGAAAATCCAAACATCAATAGTGTGCTGAAAATGGAAAGAAATTGTAAATACCTCTATTCTCAGTTAATTCAAAAACACACTGCAGTGCCGGATGGAATCGAGTCCAGGTGGGAAAAAGATGCAATTAATAAACTAATAGCATGCAATTAATAAACTAATATTTATTACAAAACTATATATTTATAACTGTAAAGTTAATGGACAAAAACCGCACATAAATCCCTTAAAATCAGTATATGAGAAGCATAAACAAATTGAACAATACATTGCATTCAAAAATAGTTAGCTTTGCAGAATAAGGTAGATAGGCCTATATACTGAAATTTTTTTTTATATTATGCATTTTGTAGAATTATGAATCATCAATCATTTTGTTTCTTGAATAGCCATTTATGTATGGTAACTATCCATAGTTGCTTACTTTTTCTTTGGCAGATCAACCCCAACTTGTTTATATTATGATAATGATTATGTTAATGATGATGATGATAATGATAATAATTATAATTATAATGATGATAATGGTAGATGATGATGATGATGATAATAATAATTACAATAGTATTAATAATTAATAATAATAAATAAAATGTTTATAGTACATTTTCAGATTTATATCAGTTCAATGCACTTTACATAAAAAGATGATAAAATACAATATTAAAATAGGCAACACTATACACACTTATAAATAATAATAATAATAATAATAATAATAATAATAATAATAATAATCTCCAACACAGCAGCAATACAAACAGCAGCAAGATGAAAAACAACAACATAATAAAAGTTTAAAAGGTTATACTATACCTTTAAAATCATTTCAGCTTTGGTCATTCCTTTGACAACTATCTTAGTGAAACTGAAAGTAAGGAGTAAATAAAGAAACACAGTTTACAACATGTTAGCAAAAAGAAAGTAGGCCACAAACAAATGTTGTTTTTACATACTTACACGTAAGAACCTTCAGATGTATTACAATATATAGAAACTTAGTGAAATAAAGAGCAACTGACCTTGCTGGTGCCTTCCTTGCGACCTGTGACCCGATGGAAGGAAGGTCAAGGAGTACTGTCTTGAGAGAATGAGTGTCCAAAAGCAGCTGCTCAGCACCCACTGTACTGATGGGCTTACACTTGTACAGGTGATTAACAAACTGAGGAATGAATGAGCTACAAGAAGATAATAAAAAAAGGTTATAAGTCAAATATGATGTCATTATTTGACCTCTAATGTATCTATTATTCTCCATGAACTAATTTTCCCTTAGCGCACAGTTTTTTTTACTTTTTGCAGCTAATCGCAGTGCAAGCGATGCTTAATCATTCGCAGACCTAACATAGGCCCTGTAATAACACAATACATATGGTATTCGTAAAGCAAATACTTAAGCATAAAAGAACATTGTGAGCAGAAAAACCATACAACTTAGTTGAGGGCCTGTTAAATACTTCTCCCTCAGAGCCCTCCATACTCAGAGTGTGTCAAAATTGTTAAAAACACACTGATTGGAAATATACAGTAGAACTTACTTGACAAATCTGATACAGAACTGAGTAAAATATTTCCTAGCAGAAGCTAGATTGTCTCTGATGTTTGGTAAAACTTGCTTAATATGCGATGTTATTGCACTGACGTAACTGCTCTGGTCACCAACTGCCTCTACCACTGACCAATTGACCTTGTTCATGGCAGTCAGAGCTGGCTCACACAAGGCCTCAAGATCTTGTACCAGTAACTGAATGCAGTTTGCTATGACACTACAAAGAACAGGGTATACAATGACACATAAAGTAGAACAAGATATAACACTCCTTTTTTTTTATGGCACTTATATTTTCATTATTATTTGAGAAATATGATTAAAACTAATTCTTAATATACCTTAATAAATTTAATCTGTAGTTTAAATAGTATAATGTTGAAGAATATACTGTCTTAATGTCATGTCAAACAGAAATTGTCAACAAAGAAAAAGAAATATCGGATTATACATACTTATGATATAAATCTACTTCATTCGTTAGATCAACCTTCTCACGTAAATCAGGATTTATCTTCTCACGTAGTTTTCCCTCGAGCTGTAAGATGCGGATTAAACATTAGGTCAAAAGGCAGAGTATGTGAGTATATCATAATATTTTTGATGGATTATAAATCTGTAGTGTCGCAGTAAACTTGACAAGCGACTTCCTTAAGTTATGGCATTCATTATAACTTATAAGATTAATAGCTCGCTGGCTTTTTGACAGGTTGGTGAAATGGTGTGAATATTATACATGTGGTTCCATTACTCTGCTTTTTTGAGTGTTTTTTGTTTGTATGAATTTTAAAGGCACTTGAAACAATCTTTGGTAAAGTGCTATAGAAATACAGTACATAGATTATTGTATTTTTATCATCATTTACGTTATTAACATTACCAATTTTGTCATCATAATTATCCTAATAATAGAGTAATTCATTTTTATTATCATCATTATAATTATTAAAATTAGGCTGTTGACTTTTGGCATGTACTGAATTGAACGCACACACGGCATGGGCCTGCCAACCAAAAAAGTTACTAACCTGCTGTGAAGTCTCCAAACAGTACTCTGCTGTGCACAGGATGCTGCAGACAAGGAACTGCTCTTCACTGGTGAACTTTGAGATCTCAGTTGAGGAATCTTTAAGTCCTTCCTTCAACAATGTGGAGATGTTCAACCCTGATACACTTGGTGTACTCACAACAGCTCTGAGGTGCAAGAAAATTTTTCATCAATCATGGTCAATATCATCATTATCATCACCATCACCATCATCATTTTTATTTTCCTGATCAACATCATCATGATCGACATCATCACTATCAGCATCATCAACATCACCATTATTACCATCACCATCATCATCATCATTTACATTATTATCGTCACGAATAATAAGATTTAATAAGCACACATATCCACTGCAGTAGTGCTCAAAGCGCTACAGAAGGAAGAACCATAGATTACAGTAAACCTAAAAGCTACCAAAAAAGGAACACCACACACATCACCACAACGTTTACAGGCAATTTAAGGCACAGGGCAGGCACATGTGCTCAAGTAATGGCGGTGTGTAACTAAACAAATTAAGTTTGCAAGTAAGACAAAAAAAGAAAACTAAGAAACTGCAAAAGCAGCAGACAACAGATATGTCTTGAGACCATCATCCTCATCAGCATTGCCATCACTATTATGATCATCACCATCATCACTGACATTGTCACTGTCGTCATCATTGTTACTCACTTAGGCAAGCTTCCACTTAGCAGTCTTGTGGCATAAATGCGCAAGTATTTTTGGAATGTTGATGTGAGAGATAACAGCGGTGCTCCTGTGCTTAGCTGCGAACATTGCACCATACACTTTTTATAGTAGACAAATAAATCAGCACAACTTGGAAAAATAGCGCCACCATGTTCAGACTCAGCTCGTGGTGGACCGTTGGCTTTAAAATCTGTGACAAATCGTTCAATTAACTCTGACAGATTTCTGTAAAAAAAAACATCAAAATTATGGCAATTATAAATTACAAAATAATTATTAAAATTAAACAAAAAGACCTTAGTATTTGGTACTATAAAATATTAACCATTAAATAGCGTATGTGTGAATTATGATTAAATTTAAAAGGACCTTAGTGTTTCGCACTATAAAATATATAACTGTTAAACATTATCATTACATACCTATTACAGTTGTGCTATCAATATAACCTGCCAATATTAGTATTGTGATTATGTGGTTCGTAATCATGTACTCTACTTACTGGTCCTGTGACTGAATGTAAATATGAAGATGGGCTTCAAAACATGCGGATATGATTCCTTGAAACGGTGACTGTTGTTGTTTCATAATAGTCTGAGGATTAAAACAAATATTTTAAAATGTTAGTACAATTATAAAAATAGGCTCTTAGCAGGAACGTGTGTCTACTGCATTTTTACATGTTCTTAATTCTTGCTACTGTAGAGACTTTTTAGTGAACTTTCTAGGAATTGTCTTATCTAGCTTTCTGTGTTTTTGATTTCAATAGATAAATTACTGTAGGCAAGGAGGTCTTATCTAGTATGGCATCATATTTCATAGACTTGCTTTTCATTTTTATCTTTAGCTCATGACTCATCCCATCATTCTTCCATACCGGTTTTACACACATGACCATTACTGGATTTACTCCTGCCACAATAAGACTATGTTCCAAGAGGGCAGTAAACACCAAAATACATATTTAATTAAACAATTGCAAGGTAATAACAATCAAAATATTCCAGGGGGAAGACAATATGTATAAAGTATCCTGCCCACTGGAAAAACACCTTAAACTCATTCTTGCTTGTTATCTATTCTCGAAAAAAAAAGTTTCAAAAGTTTACTGATATTTTGCTGCCACAAATAAGTACTTACTTACCTTCACTTCAATTTGACTATCTTCTTCAAACGGATTATTGCCAGCATCCTCCTCCTCCATCGCCTTGATATCCACCGGTGTGGTAGCCTCCCCTGGGGGTAAGAGTGTCACCCCTGAGAATCGTTTTGTGATCAATAATTCAAAGTTTGTAGTTCTCTGAATGGCAAACAGCAAGAGTTTGACCTCAATCTCTGTTGACCTTTTCTGCATTAGCTTAGAAAGTTCATCTCTGAAATGGAATTTTGGAAAATTGTAAATCAAAGATAAATATTTTTTTTTTGCCGTTAATGTTAGATTTGAAGCTCATTCTCTTCACGAAAATGCTGTGTTAACGAATAGGTGTTCTACCGGCTAAATGTCTACTGCCAAAATTATATAGTATAACTTAATTGGTTTTCTCTACCTTGTGATGTTGCAAAATTCTACACATATTCGCTCACTGACTTCCCAATCTGGCGGAAACATACGTCCATACTTTTCTTCATACTCAACAAGAGCCCTCTTGATCCATGCGTACCGCCTATCAATTTTGTCCAGCCAAGCTATGTCTTGGTTTTCTTGGAACAAATGAAGGTATTCAGAGAGTTGGAGTTTCACAAACCACTTCAAAAGGTCTTTCCTTAAAAGCAATTTACCAAAAAATGAGATTTAAAAAGAAAAAGAAATTATGTTAAATATGTTAGAAATCATTATAATTTGACATATAAACAGACTATCTGCTTGGAAGGGTTTAGCCTAGCAGCTGCGATTTGAAGTTGGAAACTTAACAGTAAATTTAGCTTGTGTCCTTGTCCAAAGTTGCCTCTCTCCACCCAGTTGTCTTAGTGGACAAATGGTGGGCTCAAATGCCAATGTGCTGATTAATACCAGCAATATTACGGAATTCTCCCCAGGGAGCTAATGTTGTATTCCATAGGTATTTGATAAAACATCAAAGGTTATAATGTGAAGCACATAGAGGCCTTGTTTTGTAGCTCTGTCCACACTATAATGATGTCATGATGTGCCTATATATGGTCATGATGTGCCTATATATGGTCACGATGTGCCTATATATGGTCATGATGTGATGTAATCATGATACATATTTAGACATGTCACATGTTTTTGTCAGGGCTTTATGATGTGCTATAAAAACAGGCAGGTCATTATTGTTTAATACTTCATACAATTTCAATTGAAAATTACAACAATATATATTTTCCCATACAATTAACATAATATGATGATGATGATAATGTAAACTTACTTGACTTTGGGTTCCAAAACATTTACAACAAGACAAGCCTCTGTGAGTTGTTTCTGATTTCCGATTGGCTGAAAAGTATCAAAATTTTTACAATTTAACAACAAATATGACAAAATAAATATAGCATAAAAGTACAAGCACAAATCAGAGAACAAAATTAAGCCAACAAATTAATCTGTTAATCTCACCTTACTTGCATTTGCAAATGCTTCTTCAAAATCTGCTAAAATCTGCACTCCAAGTTCAGCTTGGATTTTCTTCACTCTATTATGAATTAACATTAAAAACTAATAATTATATCACTAAACAAATCCTTGATTTAAAAAAATTACCTCTAGAATCAATGAATTAATTACATCAATGCAAAGTGTTTCTACAACTTATTGAAAATTGAATCCCTTTTTTGAGCTACTTGTTCTAATAGCAATTCCATGTTGAAAAAAAAACACATTATCCATTAAAAAGTTGTCATACACACAGCCTGTGAAAGAAATCATTATATAATACATATTTTATATGTTTTTTCACCGAAAAATAGTTATGAAAAAAAAAAGGTGTTATAGAGTGACGCATGAGATGCATATCTCAGTTTGCTAAACTGGTGTAAAAACTGTATTCGCTGAACCATACAGACCCTTGACCCCTAGTTAAATTCCATCACTGCTCTCCTTGTGTTTCAGCTGGAGGGCTGAAATGAAAGTTACAATAGCACATTAACGTAGGACACTTTCCAGAAAAGGGCAGCAACTTTCTCCCAGTATACTTCATAATATGCCAGCCTCAAAGTTCCTACTTGATGCTGCACTGTTAAGTTACATAAAACTTACTTGTCAGCAAGTTGGCGAATTTGTGGTATGCCCACATACTTGTTGAAATGATCCAATACGTTAACAACACCTTGCAGGAGATTAGCGACATCTGCATACTGCCTTCGTCGAGTTAAAGATCTGTAAGATCACAAGGTTATTAAAATAAGTGTTACTTACATGCACAGTTTTTTTTTTTTTTTTGTTGAAAAGGGATTACCGGCTCATGATTACTGGTAGAATTTTCTTGTTAAGACGAGTAATCTATATCTGTATATCCTGTATGTCATAGAGTAGTTTATGTGTACTCTTAGTGGTAATGTTTTACTCTGCTGACGCAAACTACCTTTCATGACAATAAAGCAAATAAATCAGGCTTACAGAAAGCTTAATATTAAACAGAGGAAATTTACATCTCAATTACTCAATCAATCATATTGTTTATTTCCATCAAAAAATGAATTGCAATTTCATGAGAAAAAAATATTAGAGAAGGTAACAAAAAAAACAAACTGAATGGTACTGTACAAAAAATTGAAAAAAAAAAAAAACTGATTGTGAAAAACTTTGCAAACATAAAATGAAAGATCAAAAAGGAATAAAATATTTTAAAACATGACTACCATTTTGAATAAAGTCTGTTTAGAACTAAAAGTTAATGGTATTGGTTGCAGTTTATTTATTAAATATATATTAATTTTTTTTTGTTTTTTAGAACTTTAGAACATGGAGGAAACTTGCATGCCGCAGCCTTAATAATGATGTACTTTGAACATACATATTTTTATTATTTTTTATTGGAACCTTTGACCAACAAGACAAAATTTCAAACCAAACACACTGGGAGGCATCTTAACCAAATCAGATTTTTCTCATATGTAGCAAAGACAAGCCAAACTAGTCACTCCATGCAAAATTGTTTTTAGTTATTAATACAGGGTTAAGCAGTACAATGAAAGTTATAAAATGGTAAAAGGAACATTTTAATCCGACATTTCGTTATGAAGTAAAAGGAGTTTAGTATACAGTAATCTGAAGAACAGTATTTAAGAAATCAGTCTTCAAAGTTTAAGATTTTGGCTATTTTTCAGGCAGAGACAATCACCAAATCGTTAGAAAATGTTGTCAAAAAATGGGGAAATAACAATATAGCATGATGTATAGATATACAAAGTTTAGTTTAGTGCAATAAAATACAGTAGATTAAAAAAATGTTGACATTCAAACACGTTTTGCAGATTATTTCTAAAACGCGATTTTCGACGAGTGACAGGTTTGGCTTGTCTTTGCCGCACAGTTGTACTAATAATTCAAAGTTAAGACTTACTCAAGAGTATCGACTCCTCCGACCAGCATATGAAGATGATTTAGTGTTGTGATTGATGCAGTTAGGTGGCGCTTTGCATGGTCAAGTTGCTTAATATCACGAGTTATTTCTTTTACCTGTTTGAATTTTTTATATAATATAGAATAATTAACATTAAATAATAAGTATTCTGTATTTAGAATTGGGGTCAGAAGTGAAATGACAATATAATTCTGTATTCTCGCTATATAAATATCGTAATGTCTATAGATATCGAAAACATTTCTAGTACAAGCTCACCATTTCTTCTGATTTATTTGCTTTTTCCTTAATGTCTTTAATTCTCTTGAATAATTCTTGGATTGCTTTCTGTGCTTCAGCCAGAGCCTAACAAGACAAAATAAAAAAAAAAACCTTACTACATTCACAATTCAGGGATAAGTGTTTAAGACAGACACAGACTTTCAGGAGACAGCACTTTTAAAAACTGTTGTATGCCTATATACAGTCATGATGTGCCTATATATGGTCATGAAGTGATGTCATTAGTAGTGGTAGTATTCTGTTCCTGAATACTACCACAATTACTGGAAATAATATTACTATTAGTGAAACATATTAATGCGGCTATCACTCATTAATATACATAATCATTATCAACATAATAACAATTAACATACAACTTACTTCCCTACCATCCTGACCAGCGTTTGTCTGACCTCTGACCACCATTCGGATGTTGTCATCAAGGCGGTAGATCTTTGTTCTCATTTTATTGATGACTTCATCAATATTAGCAAGAGACTAGAAATGGGCAGATCAACAAAAACAACAAATAATGATTGCATAAAAATTACCCGATGATACTAAATATTAATGCTTATTCAAAATAGTATTTTCGCCGCAGCGTTTGTGTCACGTTTAATACAGTGCTTACCGAGAGTGGTGATTATTTGGGAAACATGTTTACAATTATTTAGGAAATATCAGATAATTAGCATGTAACAAACACACAAACAACCAAGGATTCAGCAATCATGAATGATTTGAACAAGCATTTGGTTGGAATAACGTTTGTTAATTGACATTAAATTTATTGGAACTCTTTTTTACAACATTTCAGAGGAACGTCTTTGGAATTTGCATCAGGGGGACGTGCTGGTCACTTTAGATTCGACTCATTAACTATAACAGATGGAGGAGAGGTAACTGCGGCAGATGATGGTGATGATGCCCTTAGTAACATCACTATTATGTTGTTCATATCATACTGTATGAACAACATTAAAAAACAAAAATTATAACATCATTAAACTCAACAAACTAAAAAAAATCACTGTTTTCAATATTATTTTACCTGTTCTGTTGGGAAAAGTGTGTTAATGTATTCTACAGCGTTGAAGTCAGGACTATCTAATGGATCATTACTTGGTAACACCTGTAAGAAAATAATGAAAATAAAAATATTGAAATTATATTTTTATAGTTAACATTTATTTGATTATATTTACAAATGGTTAGCAATCCAGCAAAGCTGACATTATTTAGAATGCCTTCTCTATTACTAATTTCTGATGTTGAACTTAATTTATATTTCATATTTGTAGAAATGCTCGTACTTCTCTTTACTTTTACTATATCAGAGAATAACGTGACCTTGCACATCTATCTTTTAAGCTTGTTTTTGTTTGTTTATCTGCTGTTGACCACATAATTTCTTGAGTATTATTGTTGTAATTTTTATATTTTTCATCATGAGATTGTCAGACATAATAAACTAACCTGTTCTATTGCTTCCTGTACCTCAGGAGGTAAATTAACAATAGAATTCATATAGTCATCCTCAATGACATCAACTTCATCATCTTCCATATTGGTTGCCATCATTATTGACTGATGGTTTTTCAAATAACTTCTTTCCCGACAAACAACAATCCACAGATATTGCTGTCTTAATTGCAATAAGAGGAATAAACTGGAATAACAAAAATTAATAATGATAGCATTACATGTAACTACATAGTTAGTAAAATGTGTCTAGCTACCATAGTGTAAAGTATTTTAATTGCGCGATATACATAATAATAATAGTGTAGTGTTATATAGCACACATATCCATCTAATATAAGATGCTCAAGGCACTTGAGGACTAGGAACTCGATCAATGACTTTCTTCGCTCCTAAGGGTCTCTTCATGTCTGTGCTACCTGGTAACCCGGTACCAGCAACTCTCGTCGTCCACCACAGGGGCTGTATGTTCCAGTACACCGGGGTATCCCCCTACTCATCTCGAAGGATGTACTGGGTTCTTTATAGTGCACACGAGCCATTGTATACACTGGGCCTATGGTTTGTAGTCCTTATCCGAGAAGACTTGTTCTACCACCAGAACCATAGGCGAGCTTGCCGTTCGAACCAGCGCCGATATTATTGCTATAGCTTGTGGCGTCCCTGCTAACCGCTTGGCCATTCAACTCACCTACAGTAAATAAATACCTCAATAACTAGCTCAAATCTGTGTGGAAAATCTCTGGGAAAATATGAGCGCAGAATCGTAACTACTGAATAATACATTAGTCATATATTAAGATTTAGGTCAAAGCCTAATTTTCGGAAAAATCTGCGAGGAAATCAGCCCTTATTTTCTGAAAAAAAATAATTGTAGGCCTAGGCCTAGCTAGAATCAGTAATAAATTTAGGGATTTTATACACCTTGTCCTTGGTCTGGTCTGTGTTTCAATGGATGCTCATGACTTACGTTGATCCTTTTAATAATAAAGTGTATCCGCATCCAAAGGTTTTATTTGCCAATGGCGAGATGGCGAAGCCTAGCCTAGGCCCCGGGTTTGTGTTTTCTTAGAGTGGGATGGGCCGCAGCAAAACTGCACTGCCCGCATCTGCAAGTGACTGGTTCAGGTAGTGTCTGTCTTTTGTAGTAGGCCTGGGCCTAGCAATTGTAGTTTGGAAATAAGTGGGTATTTGCCTAACAAAAAAAATGCATAAGATTTAACAATCAAATTACTGTATTACCACACCTCCAAAGCAGTTATACCATGCTTGTACTTTGCTTCGAGTCCTTAGAAAGAGTAGGAGAACAACAATACAGGGCCGCAACAACACAAATTTAGGTCTAGGCCTATATCATCTCCTCTCTCCCCTCCACACACACACACGCTCGCGAAAAAAGCGAAACGAACACAAGTCTGATAACGCCCTCAATCGATCACCACTAAAACTCTCAATTCCGTGACTTTTTCGGTGGGGTTTTTCTTTTTCTTTGGCCTTTTTTGATTTCACGATTTTTTATTTTTATGTTTGTTGTTTAGTTGTTGGATCTGTGATTTTAGTTTTGTTACATTGTTTTGCTAGAATGTATTTAACTTTGGTGTTTAATTATGGTATTATTGTGATTTTTTATCTACCAGTTTCTTGGTGAGACTTGACTTGCTTTTTATAAAAATAATTATCAACATCTTCATAATCATCATAATAAATATCATCATCATAATCATCATCATCATCATCATCATAAATATCATCATCATAATCATTATTATCATCATATCCATCATATTGAACAAGACTAGTTATAATGCATTCAAAAGAAGTGTCAAATAAGACACCATTATCTATGTTTTCAAATCATATTTATTCTTTTAATCCGCCCATATATATTTTCTAACACAAGTGTATACATTCTTTGCATTGCTACTTAAACATAATTTTTATTCTAAGAAAATGCTTTGAAAAATATAAGCCTCAATAATAATGCAAATAAATAGATCCGCCTATGGTGGCGTGAAGAGTACCATGTATTAAGCATATAAAACAAATTCCATTGTTTATTAAAACAATTTTACACGTTTAGACTGTGCTATAGGAACCAATGTAAATATAGACAAATAATAAAATATTTACAAATTCAAGTTTACAACTTGACAAACACACTTGAAAGAAAAACTAATACAAACATACATGAGTCAACGTTTTTCAATAATATTAACCACTGTCTTATTTAATACGTGACAATCCCTCAAACAAGACAAACATATATTATATAATATACATGGTGCTGTACTACACAAACTATAGATATGTCTCATCATCATTAAGTTCAGGGAATGGAGCTTTCGTCGTGGGAAGAAAAATGTTGTTCCTGACAGGAATTGAACCAGCACCATTGGATTGGAAGGCAAGAACCTTATCCAGCAAGCTACATCTTGGTAGTACGTTTGATTCTCAAACTTGGCTGTCGTTTTCTGTCGATGACGTCACTGATTTAAGGTTATTTTCAAATTCATTCTCCTGGATCCATTCCTGAAATTATTGTTCAATTTTAATTTAATTCAGTTAAAAATTATACAAATGTAACAAAACGTATGGGCCTAGTGAGCAAGAACTGATACTAGGCCTATGGTGTATTACTTGAATTCACCTTATTAGGTCATCATCATCATCATCAATCATTATACGTAATCATAATCATCATTATCCCTATCATCAAAGAGCAGAAGGAGGCGAGGGACCTAACGAAACCCACTGACGGTAACCGCTCCGACGTCATAATAAGATCAGATGGAGTCAGCCTGAACAGACCACAGCAGTGGTTGAAAGCTTGCAAGGTAAGCTCGTAAAATAATATCCAGTGTTCAAAGTTTAAAATATTGTATTATTAATATCCTGGATAGATGAATCTTCATCAAACTATCATCCCTAACAATAACACTACCATTAATTATTGTATTATAGTATTATAGTATTATATTAAAAGTTAATCTGGGTAAACCTAAAACCAGATGAATTTAAAAAAATCATGATTATTAATAATCTTTATCATTATAACTGTTACTACATTAATAAATAATTGTCACTGTCTGTCTTTCCGATTTCAAACAATTACTGAGAGTTCCAATACGGTAAATTTCAGTAGCACTAACGTTTAACGATCATATTAATAATTTAGGCTTTCCAAGCACACTGAAAATACTGAGAATCCATAATCTATTGAGTACGTCCATTGTTAGATAATCATTTGTAAAATGTAGGCTTAAATCGAACTATGGAATCTCTTTGTCACTTTACTGTTTGGAACATGTTTGATGTTTACTATAGATAACATAAAAGCAGAATAATAATATTATTCTGCTTTTATCTCCTCCTTTTTATACCTTTATCTCGTCGGCAAACATTGTTCGCTCCAAGTCTCCCTTGGTTCGTTCACGAGTACCATTAAAGGTAACTTTCCCCTAAAATGAAACAGTTAGATTGGAAAATGAAACAATTAGGTTGATCTACATAACCAAATGAACAGTTCTGATAAGCTTTGCCCCTTGGATGTTTTTAAATCCCACAAAACAACAGAATTGTTGAGGACTGTCGGACACCATCTGACGAAACAAGCCGACCAAATTAAAATGGTTATTCTCTGTTATCCATAATGTTTTATTGTCAATGTAGGCCTATTGCTTTTGTACTTTGAAATGATTTATTTTGTTTTATAAAATGTATTTTCTTCTTTATTGCTATGGATAACAATAACTATTAGGCCTATTACTATACTATACTATACTATACTATAGGCCTACTATACGTAAACTATAGCCCCCTGTGGAACAACACGTATGCTGTGCGACAGGCGGTGCCCGTCATAAAAGGCCTACAGTATATACAGTCCCCATCTTACCCATGTTCTGATTTCTTCCATTAACTCTGACAACTCTTCATCATTTCTAGCATCAGGGAAATGATACTTTATTTCAGCTTTTGTCAAAACGTATTGAAACTCCACTTCTGCATCAGCTGTCAAACGAAAAAGCAATTTTAAAGTTTTCTAAATAAAGTTTTGTTTGGAAGAAAGTTTTACAGTTAACGTTAGTATTGCAACAAGCAAAATAAGATGAAAGCATTGACCTACCACTAGCAGGTTGCTTCTTGTGTTTCTTTTTCTCGTATCGCATTCTAAAGATAAATGCCTCGAGGATGAATGCTACAACAATTGTCATGACAACCTGCGTCAAACCAGATAAATATTGTATTGAAAATGTATTGTAAAATAGAACATATAGATCGATTCTAATTACTGTATATATAAAAATTGTTGCAGTATACGATGTAACTAAATGCTTTATATAAACAGAACCTTAAAACTACTCACCATACTACTTAAATAGAACACGACAAAATATAGTCTGCTCCATCCTCCGTTAACTTCAGCAATACCATTCTAAATGAAAAATAATAATAATAATAATAAGTAGAATTATAAAGCACACATATTCACCGCAGTAGTGCTCAAAGCGCTACAGGAGGAAGGAACCAAGAAAATAATCACCCTCTGATAAATACATTCCAATATATTTTACGTTATATAAATGGCATTCAATCTAATATTTCCACAAGGTAAAATCTTTTTTTCAAATTTGTATTTAAGTGTTCATACTCACCATGATAATATGCCAGTTATTAACGACAGTCAACTCGAACAAGGTTGCTATAAAATGTGAGAATAATTATATTATAGGCCTAGCTAGGTCATATATTAAAACACGTATTTGCTAACTCTGTTAAAACTGTCTGTTGTATTATATATAAACCACTTAAACTCTACACAAGAATATCAAAAAGGTTTATCAAGAATTATAAAATCTAAAAGCATCTTCAAAATCAAGACCTTCATAACTGCAGTATAGAAAAAGTTGTCGGTTTATATTCAAGCATAAATAGCCTAAGCATAATATAGGCTAGGCCTACACTATCCTATAGGACAGATACCTCTACAAATAACATATTTTTGTTTCACTACATAGGAGTGATATGACGTGATCGTGCCCATATATGGCATATTTGTCACAGAAAACATTGTAAGAACAGAGCATTATATTCGTAGGATAGATTACACTTGTCAAAGAATGGTGTAAAATCGAACAACATGAAGGTATACATACTGTAACTGAAAATAATATTGTTGAAGTTGTTGAGCCAAAAATACTGTTTAAATGTTGTTGTATTGCTGTAATAATCGGCAAAATATGTGCTCCTGAAAATAATTAATTATGAATATAAACATAAATTTGTGGAAATATACTAATCAATAAAACATATTTGAAAATCAATGAAATAAGTTTCTCTACTTTAAATATCTCAAATTCAACACAAAAACAGATGGTTCTGAAGAACACCTTTTTCGAACACCTCTGATAAACCAAACTACCATCTCCATTTGTATTAAAGCCATCGTCATATTATTTTTTAAGCTTCTCATCCAGCAGCGTAGTAACCCTCCCCACCATGTTGACGATGCAAAATATGTGATGTTCTGTGTTATGGAGTAAAATTCAGTGGTGAAGATGTAATGACTTACTGGCAACAATTCTCTAGTGGAAGGTCATGGAATAGTTCCATTCCAATGATTGCGTAAAAGTAGAACAGGATGAAAAGCACGATACAAACGCTATCAATGAGAATAAAACAAAACACAATCAATAATTTGGAACTTATTTTTTAGTTTAAATAAACTAATTACTGAAAATTGTATACTACAATATTACTAAAGAAGTAATAATGATGATAGTGATAATTTAATAATACAAATGGCCATTCAAAATCGATATTGATAGACATAATATTTCATTTTTCTTCATCATCATTGTTTTCGTAATCATCATCATCATCACCCTTACTATTATCATCACCACCACTATCATCATAATTATCTTCTTCTTGATCCTCATTATCATCATTAGCCTCTCCATCCATCTCCTCCTCCTCATCTTCTTTATCCTCCTCCTCATTGCCATCATCATCATTGTCCTCATTATCGTAATACGAGAGCGGACACAGAATAAGACACTACCAACCTCCACATGCACGGAAGCAAGACGTAAGCAGTGGCCAACACATCTCGGTAACGCTTTTTCACCTTAAATAATCTAAATCAGATAAAGGAGAAAAATCACATCAATATGAACGTAAGAGAAGCGTAAATAAAAATACGATAATATATTCATAAAACTAAATAAAATATATATAGTAATTATTTTTGTACTGACCTGAGCAGTCGAAGAGGCCACAGCATGACAACGTAGTAGAAATAAGTATCAAAGACATTTGACAATACACCACATATAGCCGATATGTTAGCAATGAAGTCAAATCTGTTAACAGAATACGATATATTTAAAGTTGATAAGCTATAAAAATCTACTTGATGCATGCATAACAAGGTAAATCCATAATTAATGATGACGTGTCTTATATTTAATTAATTACATAAAAACTAATTTCAATTTTCAAAAAAATGTTTAATTTACGTTTTTGATTATTTTTAATCCTTAGCATTGATTGCTTAGGTTAAGAAAGTACGGGTGACAATAAGAACTTTTTGCAACGATGACGTAAGTTGACTTATACGCAGAAACGGTTGATTTCATGTCTTTTTTTTGGTCAGTATTGTGACTATGATAATCATTTTCCTATACTGGTTGGTAACCCATTAACTGTTCTATGGAGGTCAATGTTAAGATTAAAATAATTTTGTGAAAGTAAACAAAGAGAAAAACTTATTTTAATTTATGGAATTAAATGGATACGCAGTTACTTTTTACTTTTCATAGAAGAAAATAAGAAACTTACACATTCCATCCAGAGCTGAAGTAACCTTTAACCCCATGTCCTATCAGTTTTAGTACACATTCAGACACATATACTAATCGAATACAATTAAAATGGAATAATATGAAATATAACTTATAGGTAAAGAATTAAAAAAAATAAATCAACCTAAAATTAATTGAGAACAGCCATTAATCTCTCCATCTGTCTCTTATACACATCTAGATGTGTATAAGAGACAGGGTTACTATAATAGGCAAATCATTCTTTGCATTTCTGTTACAGCTGCTGCAGCTTGTATAATTACAATATATTATATTTCAATACCCAATTTATTTCCGCTTGTTTAGAATAAACATATAATAATATAATGATTAGTTAAACAATTACTATTATTATTAACATACTGTAATGCAGGTTCAATTATTAGGCCAAATAAAAAAAGATATTGCGTTGGTCACGCCCGACCGACCCAAATTTGACGAAATTCAGGGTTGGCATTTTAGCTTTTTTTTTTTTTTTTTTTGACTACAAGGAACAATCATTTTTTTTTCATGAGCTTATAAGACTGGAATAGCCTTGCACTAGGATTTTCCTACCTACTGACCTACCCATTTTTTAGATTTTCCTAAAACGTGGCCAGCACAATTTTTTTGGCCCCTTAAAGTGAAAAAAGGGCGAATTGAAACAAGGTATTGAATAATAGTTAACTGCATTTATATGCGGAAAGAAAGAAGTTGTTTAGCACTCTGGAATGCTTACGTTCCACACTAGTGGAAATATTCTGATAAAGTATCGAAAAGTATATGCCAATTGGCAAAGTGTCTTTAGAAGACAGCTATTGGACAGTAATGGAATTATGCAGATTAACATCCGGGTTTTCAGACATTAAATTATATATTGCTCACGTCATTTGTTTCATAACTTGTTTATTATGATTGATCAATATCTACAAACCGCAGTCACAACCTATAAAAATTATTTTCATTCGTGATTATGTTTTTGATGAAATTGGCTTGGCCTTCAAGAGTGTGCATTCTAGGCGTATATTTTTTAATTTAAAATACATCACAATGATAACATTCTTACAAAAACACCAAACAAGTCAACAAATGTAGGTTTATACTATGTGTTCACGTATCTGACACCTTAAATTCCTTTTTTATTATTAATACTTACGTGAAATTTTGAAAGTTCTGACTAGATAACGGATACTGTTACAGACTATAACAATGACTGAAAAAGAAAGAAATGTAGCCTATATAAACAATAATAAAAAAAATACAACAAATATAAAAAATGTGTATGTTGTAATCCAAGTTTTCCTTTAACACAGAGTCACTGTATCGGAGCTGACATCTGTTTTCGGTTTTATTAATTGGACATTATCATCAAACTATTTTTGGCTACGTATAAGAAAATTATATTCTTAAGCGAATAAATCATTTTAACTGGACTTTTTATGTGGCAATATTTCACATCCAGTAGAAAAGATTTATTAGTTTAATAATATAATAACCAACTATCTGGATGCAACATTCAAAGTCGCACTTATAAATTATCGTGTTTTCCTCGTTTCCTTGGTCTGCCTCTTCATGTCATTATGACACGAACATTCCAGGTTTCTAAAAGTACGCGTTACGAATGCTGACATTCTAATGACGACAAGTTATATCCATGTGCCTTAAATGAACTTATGTTTAAAGCAAATGACAAAAGGACATTAAACTAGACAAAACTGATAGGCCTACTCACATATAAACGCATTGAATTTGTTTGAATTGACGAGTTTATGGATGTATCGACATGGCTCAGCTAAGCCACAACGAAGCGTTTCAAACCAAGGCCTCAAATCTCGTTTTGATTGCCATTTCAGTTTCGTGATGCCGTACACGTCGTTGAACTCATCTAGGCTGAGCATCCCTGATTCCGACTTATCCAGCGTCTTGAAAACCAGAAAGGCACAGTGTTTCTTCAATTTCGGAGCATAGTATCTTAATAGGCCTTGGAAATGCGTGAAGCAGATCCGGTTGAGATGCTGTTTTGAGAAAATTGAGAAATTTACAAGACAAAGTTATCATATTAAGGAGCTTAATGCCGAAAAATATAATTTATAGGTAAAGAATTAAAAAAAATAAATCAACCTAAAATTAATTGAGAACAGCCATTAATCTCTCCATCATTTTTTTTTTTTTTTTCAAAATATTCCTATTTAGTCCTATTATATTAACGGGTGCCGAATAGTATGATGTTAAAGGTAACAAAAATGGAAGAATAAATCAACATAGCAGAAAGATTTAATTGAATACAGAAGTGAATCTCGACTTAAAAAAAATCGTAACATAGTTCTTGATGGCCCATTTACAAGGGTGGGCTGGCAGGGGTAATTTCGTGACGCCTATTAGATTGAATATTTTGTATGCTGAAACCGTCACCTCGGCTCGGTATCTGTTGATCGTTCTACTGAGGCTTATTCGCTTCATTTTTTACGTCATCGTAATTTTTATATCAAGTACTACACGCGCTACATACGTGACTTTCATGCGTACGGTGAGGTGTGCTTCGCAAACATTGAACCTACTCTGTATTTCAACATTTACTGTAGGCCTATGATTCATAGAGGCCTATAAAACACTGAACACACACAATTATGCCTATTTGTTTTTGCCTTTCAGAATCAATATACAATGTTTGATCCGGTTTGTTTGATGTAAGCATTTTTCAGCTATAATGATCACCCTCTATAATTTTTTTTTATATAAATAGATAATTATAATATACATAAGCAATGCGCACAAACCAGGGCGTATTGCGTTGTACACGACGGTCGCACGACTGTTGGTCGACGCGATCCTAAAACGCAATGCGATATGACGCACGCGCAACGGATCTTTTTAATGACGATTCGCTCAGACTGCCAACAATCAGCAAACGGCGTCGCGTCGTCGAACGCTCACAGAGAGCGGAGATGGAGGCATACGTTCGTAAGACCGTCGTACGACACAGTGTACCCGACTTACGACACCGGGCAATACACAATTTTGTCGGTCAAATTAATTTAATTAAATGGTAAAGTAACGTACCCCATCGCCACAGAGAAGCTGAAATGCCTTTTCAGCTCCCAGTCTTTTATGCAACAGTAGTTTCTTAAATTTATCCTTTTCAATTCCGGTAAACGTATCATACACAACTGCTAGGAGCTTGTAAAGAAATAAACACAATAAAACATTAAAGGAACAAAGAAACTTAATAGGCCTATAGATGCTTGTAACAACAGTTCAAAATTAATGATTTTCACCAAATCAAAAGTTTTTTTTATAAAAACATTAAAATTCTTACTAAATTTGTCACGAAATAAAGTTCAATCGCAAGAAAAATGACAAAGAACAGCACACTCCAACTTGAGCTGTGGTAAGTCGGCATCATTACATCCGGGAAACTGAAGAAAAAATACTTCCATTAAATAATTTGTTTTTTAAATTCAGTTAAAAAATTCGAGAAAAGTAAGGAAATATATAGACTAGGGAAAGACTTACTTTGATGTGGTTGTGAGGACAAACAGGTTTATAATGCTGTCCATGATCGTGCTAAAATAGATGTCCTCAGGTACCCGAACAAAGAAATAAAATCCTGCAAAAAATAAACAAGCCCATGTTAAGATGATGACTAACGTCGTTGTCTTTATCGGTGTTGCCTCCATATCTCATATCCATCACCGTGTTCGTCACTTTTATCATTACCATCACCAACTTCATTATCATCTTCATGATCATTATCTTCACCATCATCATCATCATCATCATCATCATCATCATAGGCACCATCATCATCATGCTAATCTTTTCCTCATATCATCCCAGACCTAATCTCGTAAAAATAAACAAAGGTACAGGCATCATTATAGGATCTACCACGTTCGACGTCATTTCTTTTGTGAATGGGGTTATAAAGTGACAGACACCATTAGGCCCTCAATATCCACCATAACCAACCAGGATATAAAACATAAATATGAATCTGAGTAATAATATAATAATATACAATTGTCTTAACAACCAATCGTATTACCATCGTCATAAAATTTTGTCCCCTGACTTCGCACTCTTCCATGGAATTCGGTATCTGATCTTTAGGCGTACGTAACGTTAATAATGAATTGGACCCTCTCATTAGGCCCCATAAAAAAAATTATTAGTTCACCCTATCAAAGAATAAAAACTGATGAGGGAAGGAGGTTTTTTTTGTTTTTTTGGGGGGGTTTTTTTTTGCTAACCCTGCCCCCATTTTACCAATGTTCACAAGTAAATCAATGGTTAGGGACACATTGAAAAGTCATAAGAATGGAATCAAATTTATATTTAAAAAAGATGTTTTTGTTGTACCAGTAAACATATTTGCAAGAACTCCTGAGCTTTTCAAGTGAAAAAAAGATATAATTTTTTTTATGGAGCTTTACAGTACTTAATTCGTTGAACCTTTTTAAATGGGAAGGGGAGATATTCCTGCGATTTTGGCACAGGAGATTCATATTGTGTACAAACCTAGGACTGAGAATATTAGTAGAAAGTAAAATAGAAGTAGCATCATATCGGCGATAGGGGGAATAGATCGGATGATCTGCTGTAGCACACGTCGTGCACCGCCGAGGAAATGGCAGTTAATCAGGAAGATGGGCCGTAAAGCACGCGTCACACGGAAATGGGCGTCACCATAAATCATCACTACAATTGCTTCAGTGTACATAATAGATAAGCAGACGGCCTGCAAACAGAGAAAAAGATAGTGATGATAGTACTTTTGTTACATGCCGACTTTATTATTTATTTCCTTTACATGCAGGTAATCTCAATTAATAGGCCTTTATGGATAAGGAAAGTCATTGACAAATATTATATTAGGCCCTAAGCGTGGAACAATTGACAGTTTTCTTATCTATGTTCTGTTGCAAAATTTACCTTCAGTCCTGTTCTTTTGTACGAAAAGAACTCTTTCCAACCAAGCCATCGTAATTTCATGCAGAGATCAAATGCAATGATGGTTAAAGCAAAGAGTTCAAACGATGCATGAATCTGTAAATCATATAACATATCAATCAATATCTAGAGATAATAATTAACTGTGGACAATATTATATGATAACACGTTTTTAGTTGAATTTACTTTTGAATTCAGATCTAAATTAAATTATATATTTTTTTTCACTAAACTATGTTGCTTCATTAAGTGAAAAAAAAACCCCCAACTAAGTAAGCATGAATATAGATGGCTGTTCTTAACCTTAAAATATAGACGTTTTCGTTAATTACCCGAACTGGAATAGGAATCGTTGCCGGCGACTCCACCAGTGCTAGGCTCAAAATAAAGCAAGACGCTAAAAGATCGATGACGTTGAACCAAAAGTTATGAATGATTATTTGAGCGATGGTTGCGTTCTTTGCCCTGGGAAGACTGCCGAATTGTTCGTTTTCTTCGCCCTCTTTCAAATACATTGCCGCCTCTTGATACCTGTATTCCCACTCTGCTTTCTCGTCTTCGACACATATTCCTCTACAGCTAACGTTATTCACAGCCTCGAATTCTACCAGTAAGAAAAATAATAAAATTCGTTTCTAAATTACTGTATATGGTAACATTTCAATGTGTATGCGTCATGAAAACTATCACAGTGATGTTTTGACCTACCTGACCGTGGCGTGTTATCGTGTTGAATACTCAGCTACGTTCTCATATACGTGCGAAAAAACTTCGCAAGTCATCCGGAAGGGAATCGAACCCAGACATCTAGAAAACTAGCCTGGTGCCATAACCACTAGACCACCACCGAGCTTGCGCTTATTGGCTAGTATTAAATCCGATCCCCAAGTAGCAGCGGGAACTGCAATGCTATTTCGATTTCGATATGTTTGTTGGTTAGTTATCTGGATATCGTGGGTTCGATTCCCCAACGTATTGGGAACGTATATACTGAGTATTCAGTACGATAACACGTCAGGTAGGGCAAAACATTACTCCTACTATATAATAACAGTGTTTGACATATTTTAATCGATAGTTAAGATCAGCTAAAGTATTAATGTTTTGTTCATTGCAAATGATCATAAACAACATTTACCGTCAGTTAACATTTACTTACATGTGTCAAATATGAAAACCCATCAAATCAATAAAAGCACTAAGTACCTGTAGTACATAATATCAAAGAGTATGAAACTGCAAGAGGTCCGACTGCCGGGGATTCTTTGGAACGCAATTCTATTTCAAAAAGTACTACCCAAAAGGGGCGTGGCCTTTAAAAGAACGTAAAGTGCGTTCATATGGAACGCGTGCTGCGCGTCTATAGAATGTATGCTGGAATTCGAAACGCAGCACGCGTTCGATGCCAACGCCTTTTACGTTCTTATGAAGGACACGCCCCTTCGTGGGAGACTTTTTAACGTTCCATTGCCTGTATACAAAATAAGGGCAGTCGGACCTCTTGCAGTTTTATACTCTTTGATAATATTAATAAGGTACTTACCGCTGGATGATATAGGCGATCGGCAGTCGATATCACCGTGCAGTTGGCTGTGTAGTTCTACTGTTGTTGTTTGTGGCGTTGCTACCTCTCCATTCTGATCCAGTATTATTACATGGACATCATCTGCAGTCTTGACAATTTTTCCACCATTGCCTGTTATTTTAATATATAAATGATATATGATACTACATGATAATGATATGGTATATAATAAAATGGTATGAATATACTATATAATATAATGAAATAATACATTATATAGACACTAATATGTAGGCCTATAAAGAATACACTAATAATAATAAAATAATAATGATAATGTAAATGACAATTCAGAATAAATATTACATTGAATTGTAAAATAATAAGTCTGTGTAGGGTTAATGTATAATTTCTACAGAGAATAATTAAATTGAATCGTAACAAAGAGTTTCAGTAAGCCTGATTTATTTCTTGATACATTAATAAACTGATGAACCAAACATTTACAATGGACTTACACAAACACTAGCAGCATAGCCTACATTTAGGGGATTATGCTGATATGGTGCACACTCCGGATATATTACTCAATGACACATTTCATAACGCAAACTATTAACCAGCATTACATACCGTGTATATTCGAATAAACGCCTCGCTTTAAACGCCTCATCCAGTGCCTCATTTAGAATATACTGCTCCCTCCAATAAACGCCCCCGAGGGGTATATTTTTTTAGTGGGATAAACGCCCCCTAAATGACTGTAAACAAATCTAATGAAAGCAACATCATTCTCAACACATTCTACTACTCCAGTAGAATTATATTCTTTGTAACCGGACTGGGATCAATAAGTCTTTATGATCACGTAATAACACACTGAGATGGTATGTAGTTCCACATTTTTATAGTGAATAAGGGGCGTTTATTTATGTATTTAATTTAATTTATTTCTCCAATTTTCAAAAACATACAGAATAACAAAAAATGACACGACAATATATACGACAGTGTATACGTATTAAT